AACTTTAGGATGACGGCTATCTCGCTTCGCCCAGCACGGCTGCCGATTACGTCGGTCTCAGCTGGCCCACCTGGCTGGCTGTCGACCCCACGGCTGCTTTCCTCGGCTTCTCCTTGCTCTTCACCACCGAAGCCCCCGCCGCCGGATATCTGGACATGGACATTGACTACTCGGGCCTCTCTTCAGTCGTCCTCCTTCCCGAAGTCGTGCCCGTTGTAGCCTACTACGACGCCCACCTTGCTGCTTGGCTGACAGTCCCCGGTCAAACTGCCAATTTGGCCACCAAAATCATCACCTTTGACCTCAACGTGTCCCGCCAGTATGCCCTCTTCAGTACACCCTTCATTCCCGAGCCGCCCACCACCACCACAATCACCCCCACCACCACCACCAATCCAACTGACGCCGTGGATCTTGCCTCCCTCGTTGGGCCCATCAGTGATAATGCCACTTCGGCTATATCTGCCATCGGCGGTGGCACGCTCTCCAACGATGCTCTCGTCCACCTGGAAGCGCTTCTCAACAACCTCCTCGATAGCGTGCCCAGTAATGGCACGCTCAACGTTGCTACAGATGGTCTATTCATCCAGGCCATGCGCCGTGATGCTGCAGCCGTTGGTAACCTGCTTGCCGACGCCAGCCAAGCCAACGGCACCGCCGGCCCCTCAGCCCAGTTGCCCACCGACATGGGTACCACCCTCGCCGAGCTTGGTGTTGCTGGCGACGTCAACTTTGTCCTCGCCGCTTTTTATGGCACCGACGCCAACACCTCGAATACGATCGAAGTCAGCCTGCGGCAAAGCACCGGCCCCGGTACCGGTGAAGCCCTGACCATCCGTGATCTTCCTTCCAACATTCAGCTTGTCTTTTACGTGACTCTCGACAGCGCCACTCTCAACGAGACGGCCTGTCGTTTCTGGAACACGAGCAAGCCCGTCGGCAACTGTGACCCTGCTCAAGCTGGGTGCCTTGGCGCCTGGGACGACACCGGTATCACTCTTGAGACTCTGGAGCGCATCGACAACACAAGCAATCTCTATCGCGTCGTCGTCTCGACCAACCACATGACCGCTTTCTCCGTTGGCATTGATTTCACCATCGAAGCTCCCGACGTCAGCCTAAGCAACTTTGACCCCACCAATGCCATCTACATCTGGATCCTCTGGGCCAGCTTCTATGCTTTCTGCGCCTTTATCTATCTGGTATCCTTCCTGGAGCGTCGCGCCTATGACCACTACCGCGCCGCCGTTGATCTGGGGCTGGCTGAGGAAAGTGCCCCACCCAAGTCGGATGCCCTGCTTGATGTCGAACTTGCTGAAAAACCCTTCCTGGTCGGCTGCACGCACCGCTTTTTCCACATGTTCAAAGTCAAGCATCAGTGGGTTTCCCTCCTTTGGCCGTCCACACGCCGCGTTTATCCCAAGCGCCACATCAAAGTCACGGCCTTTATGGCTACCATCTCCATGGCCTTTGGCATGATGGCCATCTTCAATTACACGGAGAGTCAAAATCCGGGCGAGCACACCAACACCTGGCGCATCACCATCAACAACAAAAACACCTATTTACCCCTCGAAGGCTTTTATTCCTTCTTCATTACCCTTCCCTTTATGCTGGCGCTCAGCATGTGCCTCAGCAAATACTCGACTTACCTGGACATCTTGCGTCGCGCTCGCCCCGAACGCTACCGCAATCACGCCTACCTGCAGAAAAAGATGCAACCTTACGTTGCCATGCGCAAGAAGCAAGGCCAGGTTGCGGCAGCTCCGAACCCTCAAGTCATGGCCACTAGCACCGACACCACCATATCCGTGCTCAATTCATGGACCACAATTGAAGAGGAGGGGTACCGAAACGAGGAGGATTCGGTGCAGGCCGAACCCGCGGCTGTTCAAACCAGCGCCGTGGCCATCAACATGCCCCAATCGGAACCCGGATCTGGGTCCACGCCCTCTGTCATGTTGCAATATCTCGACGTGGACGGCCTCGATGGTTCGCGAGTCGAATCCATCACGGCCCCCGATTCCGCCCCTTCAGCCGCGGACAAGGATGCGCGCACCGATGCGCAGGTGGAGCTGTTGGATCGAGACATGCGACGCTACCGCTGGTACTCGTATGCGCTGGCCAACACTCTGATGCTGGCAGGCATGGCACTGGCGCTCATCTTCATGGGCTCGACTAGTCAGGCGCTTCAGGAGCGATATTTGGTGGGCGTGAGCGAGTTTTTGATTTGCACTGCCATCATCACCGCTCCCATCGTATTTCTGATTGTGGCCATGCACCAGCAATATCGCGCCCAGCGTCAGCGCGCTGGCATGACAGATCAGCAATGGGCTGCCCACGTGGCCGCTATTACTGCCGTGGCAATGGCTGTTACAATGACTGCCGATATGATTCGGCGTGAAATCACCCGTGCTCTCAAGGAGAACCTCAACTTTAGCTTTCTTTGAGCTAGAAAGCACGCTCTGCCCCTTTTCGTACCCTTGTTAACTTGACCATACTCCTGACCATTGCCCATACGCACACGACATTAGCCTTTCTTTCTTGCTTCTTTCTATTCTTTTTTCTATCTTTCTTTCTTCCTTTTATGTTTGAAATTTTCTTCCACGACTTTGCGTTTGTGGCCCCGCGTTTCGTGCCTTGTTTACCGACCCAGCCCCCGCGCGCACACACTACCGCGAGGATCTTGTTCCCTACATTACACATTCATCTTCTCGCATCTTACCCTTTCTCCGTATCTCCCATATGTCCTTATCCCCTTCTGACTATATTACCAAGTGAACCTGTTCAGGCTTGTTGTCGCCTTGTTGCTTTCTGCGAGTGTGTTCAGTATCATGTAAAGCTCGCGTCTAGCTGTTGAGAGAATCACAATCGAACCTAACCGTCGATGCTTCTCAACATCAAATCAAAACGGGCATATGATGGAAGGGGGGAGGCGGAAAATAGCTCGTCGGTCAGCGATGGCACGATGCAACATGGTATTTCCGCTGCATGGATTATGTTTGAATCAGGGCCCGTGGCTACGCACACAGCCATGGGTGCCGGTCATGCCCCCTTTTCTCCAGTGAAGGCAAAATGAGCGAAACGGCATCGTCATGCGTAATGATCGTAAATTATTGGAAGCACAATTGCAAATTAGAGGGAGACAACTTGGGGCTGGCATCAAAGCCGGAGGCTGGCGAAGGCACTCAAGACGGCAAGTGTGCCGATAGCTTGAAGCGCGGCAGCACCAGTTGGGTCCCAGGTAGTGCTGGTAGGTGAAATCCTATGCAAAAGGCCGTGTGTGATTGATTTCTTTCGGGTCGAATCCTTCAACGCACATAGCCCTTGCAAATGGACATGCCGTCCGGACCTGACGAACAGCTCATGTATAATGTAAATTGTTTTCCATACGTTGAGCTTTGAGTTCTTCACGGGCGTTGGTGACTTGGGGAAAGACTTTGCTTGAAGGCGAGAGATCGAGAGAAATCCGCCTTTTCGGTTGTGTGCGTGCGCATGCATCAGACAATAGCAACAACCAATCTTCGATTAATTCTGTTTGCACAATGCTAAGCAACTACCAAACCGGCTCACTGGGTCTGTAGCTGTATCCCACCCCATATCCTGAACATCTGCTCTTGCTGCACGTCGCTAAACCACATCAGGCCTTAGGCACCGACGCCGAGGCTTTGGGTGCAAATTGCGGCTCGGATGCGGTTGAATCTTTGGTCTCAAACTCGGCCAAGCGACGACGGAGACGATCCCGTTCCTCAAGAGCAGCCGCGAGACTCTTTTGATCAATTTCGCGAGCCTGCTTGAGCTGTCGTGCTTCTTGAGCCTTGAGTTCCAAGCGGCTGCAAGCGCGCTCGATGAAATCCTGCTGAGCTTGAAGAGTGGTGCGCAGCTGCTCCACTTCCTGAGGCTGCGCGCAAAAGGAGCACAGAGAAAACACATTGAGTTTCGATCGCTTTGATTTCAAGCCTCTGGTTTGCCATGTTGAGCAGCAAGATTGACCGGGGCTAATCGGATTGCTAGCCAAACTTACCAGCTTGGGATTGCGGTTGATGACAAAGGAATGGCCATCGTAGTGGAGCGAGCAAGCAAAGACAATTCCCCCTTTGATGTCACGAATGCCGCTGCACATGGTGCCATGGCGCTTGTCGTTGATGTACAAGACAATTCGGTTGGAGAAAAAGTCCACCAAAAACCCGAGCTTGTCTTTGGCCTTGAGCTTGGGGCTTGGGCGCGCGGCGCCTGGTGTCGTATAGATATATCCTGCATCTGGAGAAAGCACGCAAGTCCAGACACCGTTCTGCACAGTGTTATGACCACCAGCATGCAAATAGGTCTGCGTCAACGCACCACCCCCAGCCATAAAGCCCACGGGCTTTTGGATGAATCCAAAGCCTACAATATAACGTACAAAACACACAACAAGATAAGAATAGCTGACTCGCTGCACACATGACCACCGATGGCAAGACGTACAGCCATGCACGTCTTGCAGCAGCTCAACTTCAAAGTAGACGACGTCACTGTCCTTCATAGGGTCGGTCATCCAGGCAGTTACCCAATTGTTACCACCTCGCTTGGCGACTTTGATGGTTTGAGCGCTCTCCTCGATGTCAAGGCGGCCAGAATAGGGACAGAAGCTGCCTTGAAGCGCATCGGTGTGCTTCACCAAGGAAGGCGCGCGATAGCTCAGGGCCTCTCCATCATCAGCGCTGCACAGCACACAATTGCCACAGTTCCGGCAGTACTGGCCGAGCTGGTCGGTGGCCGTGCCACACTTGGGACAGTGCTTGTGATAAAGGGGTGAGGCCATGTTGCTTGACGCTTCCAAAAACCAGCCAAGAAAACCGTGAAACTTGGAGGTGTATGATCTTGCGACAAGATGGAGATGCGGAAAAATGCCGAGCCGAGCGCTCAAGTTGCCCCCATTGATGAACCATGCAGCGTGATCGTCTCACACCATTAACACATCGACTTTTGATTAACGCTTGTTTGTGCTTGTGAAGTTTTTTTGCTTGTAACGCCAACAAAATGCTTGTATCCTTATGCGTTACGTATTCAGGATGTGGCTGCCATGCCAAAAATGGCAGGTTGGGACCTAGAGTCATGCGGATGTGTGAGCGTGAATGAGTTCGATTGCAAAAGTTTGGAGAGCATTTATCAACGAAAGCTCATCGTCTCCGCCTCCGCCATCACCATCACCAGCCAGGCGGTTTGTTCGTGTGCTCACTTGCTTGAAAGCTTGTAGCTTGTTGCTCTCTTGCTTGCAACAGTGACATGTACCTCCGACCATTATTTCCGCTTGGGGCACACCTGTCAAAGGCGTCCTTCTTGAGAAACAGGCGCATTGGGAACAGCGTTGGTGAGCGTGCCCTGATTGTAGTGCTGCTCATTCAAGCGTGCGCCGGACAGCAATACTCTCCCCACGTGAGAGTGTGTCTCGCAAGGATTGGTTCTTCATCATTTCTCTGGCACGTCTAAACGGCTAGAGACTGCGTCATCATGGGCCACAGTAGCAGCAAGCCCGGCCCAAGCTACTACAGACGCAGCGAAGAGATTCTCCGGGCCACCTATCACGAAGAAGCGATTGCCTTTGCCTTCCTGCCTGGTGCTGCCGAGGACATTGAATGCATTCCGGTTAGTTTTTGAACCATCCTTACTCGCTCGTACAGTCTCGCCACCCTTCTGACGCTACCGTGTGAGCTCAGGAGACAAAGCTAAAACCATGCCCACTCGGGCGGCATGCCTTTGTGCGATGCCCAAACCTGCGCGCCGAGACATCCGGGACGCACACCACCGGTATGCACAGTCAACCCTTGCTTGCAGATCGCAGAGAATGATGATATTCCATGTTTAGCCCAGTTTACCCCGCGATGGCTCACTCGTTTGCATTTGTTTTCCTCCCCTTCGCTCCTTGTGTCGGAAAATATGCTTTTCATTTGTGTGGCCGCCAGTCCATGAAGTACCTGTGCTCGTGTGTCGCCGCTGTCTGCTGCAATGTACGCTGGGCTCGACACGGGAGGTGTGTGGTCGACCCTGCGGTTGTCCGCCGACCGCCACACACGACAAGCCCGAAGAGGGTGTGGTCTACTTTTGCTACCTCAAGGCCGGCCATCATGCCCAGTGCGCTTGTGTGCTGTGTGGACATGGTCGGACGGGTACCTACAGAGTCACGTTTGATCAAGCCACGCAGCAAGATTTTCCCCGGCTAGCCCAACAGCTTGCAGACCGCTTTGAAAGTGCAGATTGGGTGCCTGCACCCCTTGCTCCGCGCCACGGATCTGACCTCGATGAGCTCCTGCGTCAAAGAGAGGAAATGAATTGCGCTTTGAAAGAAACCGCTGCTCAGCAGCAAGAGATGGAACATACATTTGCTGCACAAGATGGACGTGCTCCTTCACGAAATCAGCAAGCCTTGCTGTGTGCCCGATCCCAATCTGTTGCAATCCCGTTTGATACATGTGTACCACAAGCCTTGGCCTACCACTCTGATCATCAAAATGAACGTGCTGTTTACATCAAGCAGCACCTGCAGCAGAAGTATGAAAAGAGAATTCTTTCAGAGGCCGGCTCGGATGGTTACACGTCCTATACGCGCCGCACAGTCGAGGAGAAGACCGATGGGCACATTCAGGCCGCAGCGGGCTCGATAATGGCGCATGTGGATCAGGATTCAGGCCAGCTGCAAATCAACGGCAACGCACCCGCCGCTCTTCTAGGAACACCCCAAGAAAAGGGCGATGCCGACCCAACACCAGACCCAACGTCAGACCCATCGTCAGAGGATACTGTCAAAGTGATTCCTGCAGCCGATCTTTCTAGCCGGCTTCACGCATGCGAAGCCGGGCAGCACAATGGGAAGATCGTGCCCCAGGCTGTCTGCTTCAAGATTTCGGGCAAATACATGGACTCGAACGGGAAAACGCATAACGCCGAGGTTACCGTCTGGGACTCTCTGATTGTCTGTCAAGACTGTAAACTGGCCACCACCCTGCTCGTGTCTCAAGAAGAGAGCTTGCGGGAGGTTGTGCCCGCGGAGCTATTGCAACATGATTGTGTCATCAACCTTAAAAGCATCTTGACAAACGCACCTAACATGGCTGCTGATGGAGCTTTGCGATCAAGCCCTGGTGCAAACCATGCCATGGAGGCACGTGGTTTGGCCCTGCCAAACCGACCAGGCGCCATGACAACGCATTCACAAGCAGCCTCCCATGTGACCATGCGTCAATTTCAAGAGTTGGATGTCCCCGGCCTCGGTCGCTTGGTGCCCCACAACGTCATTTCTGTAGACGAGATGCAGCGCCTCAAGTGTCTCTGCCACGAGGGCTTGCACAATTTTTTGCACGTAGGTTGTCGTGTGTTTCGGGTGTTGGTTGCACGGGGGCGACCACTCATGTCAACCGTCGTTGTAGGCCACCCCGATTCTGCTGTTGACCGTGCAAGCCAAAGTGACAAGCACGAATACACACATGCAATTTCAGTCCGAGTCGCGCAAGGTCAAGCGTCGCCTCTTTGTGAAAAAGGTGACCATCACGCGACACAAGGAGGAGCTTCGTCGCCAGTGCCATGAGATTTTGCTCGTGGAGAATCGAGTGGTCGTGTATTCGATGTCATGCCTCTTTTGCCAGAAATCTCGTGAGTCCATGTCTGCGCTGCCAGCTCTGCGCACCGTTCGGCCGGGTCAGAGGGAAATAAGTCACCGCAGCACCCGCTACCTGGCCCGTTGTGGTTCCTGCGCCCCTTTCCTCATGCTCTTCCTCATGCTTTTGCCACAGAACCCATGCCTAGCTGGTTGATGCAGACGTTGGAGACCATGACTTTTGACCACGAAGGCCGGAGCGACGAATTTGAAATTGAGGATATTGGTGATCTCGGCGCATTGGACACGTATCTCTATCAGCGATATCGCGAGCCCGTGCAAGCGCGCTTTGCCTAAGAAGACTCATGGCCTGCCAGCAGGGGCAGCTCCTGAAGAATGGCCGCACTATTGGATTCAGGCCTCGTAGCCTAAAGCAAGCGCAACATAGGGGAACCCCATCGCAGCAATTGACTCTTTGCTTACCAAACCGACCCACTCACTACCCAGCACAAACATGATTCCCACCACTAGCCGTAGCCTCATCCACCCTGCATCTACGCGGTCACTGACCATGAAGTGCCGCTGACACTGCCATAACGCTACCGGTTCTCTCTGTCTCGACATCACACTCCTCTTGTCCGCTAACTTTTGCAATTCCTTTTTGATCTCTCTCTCTCTCGATTTTTCTCTCTCAATTTCTCTCATTCTCTTTCCTCTCTCTCTTCTTCAGACCTAATCTCTCTCTCGCAAACTCTCTCATCTCTCTCTCTCTCTCTCTCACTTCTCTCTCTCTCATGTGTGTGTGTATGTGTGTGTTGTTCCGAAATCGAATGTGCATTTTGGTGGTCGACGGCGACCACTTGACCCGACGCGCATCAGCCTGTACGCAGGGTAGAAGTGCCTGTACCATTGCGATTCAATTATTCTGGGCCCGAGTAGCCCTCGGTTCTGCCGCCTGTGGCACCAGTCGACATCGAGTGCCAGGTATGTTCCGGTTGCCGGCTTGCTTTTGTGCAACAGCGCGCGCGTGTGTGCGCGTTTGGCATGTTTGGTCTCGAGGCTTGTGAAGTCACCGAGGCCAGCTGCCTGCTACTTCCGGCTCCCAGCTCAGATGCGCTTTGGTTATGTGCTTGGTTGTATCGCAGGGTTGCTTTGATCCGTCATCCTTGCCAGGTTCTCGCCATCATGGCCCGTGCCGTGGCTGCCCTCGTGTGCCTGTTGGTGGCCGGCTGGGGTCTTGGGCCGGCGACGGGCTATGAGCTGCTGTCCACCCTGCCGACGAGTGATGGCCTGTCCAACATCAGCACCAGAATTAACATTGGCAGTGGTATCTTCCAGACCGGAGATCAGATGCCGCTGCGTATTTACATGCGCAGCCCCGGCCGCCTTTTCACCAAAGCCTTGATTCGGGTGGAATACGACAGCGCTCTTGATCTCGTCTCCACGGTGGCCGTCCCTTACTTGACCCGCCGCCAAGCTTCCCCAACTACCATTGAGCTAACTTACGAGAGTCCCTTTGTGGCCGGTGTCGATGCCTTCAACACCACTGCTGTTCTGCGCCTGGGCGCCATCACCACCCCCCTGCACGCTCTCGAGCTTCGCGTTTTCATCACGCTCAATACAACCATTCATCGCTTCGTTCTCCCCGATTGGCATCCAGTCCTGGTGCAAGGCGACTGGGCCGCCCTCGGTTTTGATCAGTACAACTACAACTCGTCCCTCGTCGCCCCCGTGGAAGAGACCTTGTGGCAACGCGCCATCAGCGCCTTGCGCGCCCGCTGCACCGGTCACGAGGATGCCCCGCTCCAGGTCGACAATGTCGAATCCTCAGACACTCTTGATCTCCTGGCCGATCTCTTTTACCGCCCAACCTCAGCCTCTTCTCTCACGCAGCTGGCGCAGAACACGGCTTGCCTTGACTGGGCCATCCTGAACAGCCTCACCACCCAAATATCAGTACTCCTCACCCAACAGCGAGCCAACGCCCTGGCCCACTACGAGGCCGATCTGTTGGACATGGGGGTGACCGCCGAATGCACCGACTATGAATGTGCTCCTACCAGTGAATCGTGCCTGTCCTGTGCCCTCGACTGTGGCGACTGTGATCAAAGCATGTCCGTCATCAAACCAGGCCCTCTTGACGGCGACCTCCTCGTCCTCTACGGTGGCTACACCATTGACCAGAATGGCTTCACCCGCCTGGCCGTCCGCCAAGCTCAACCCACAAACGACACCGTAGCCATCAATTTTACGCTCATTTCTGAAGCGACGCTCCTCGACGTACGTACAGTCGGCTCTGTGTGTGTGTGTGTGTGTGTGTGTGTGTGTGTGTGTGTGTGTGTGTGTGTGTGTGTGTGTGTGTGTGTGTGTGTGTGTGTGTGTGTGTGTGTGTGTGTGTGTGTGTGTGTGTGTGTGTGTGTGTGTGTGTGTGTGTGTGTGCTCGAAATTGTTATGCGGTTTATTTTCCGTGGTTTGCTTCCTTTGGCACTGCCTTGTTTGCTTCTCGTTCTCTCCGTGCACTTACACTGACTGCCTCACGATGGATGGCTTCTGGTGTATGCTTGTACCCATCTGCTCATGCTCAGCTTAATGGCATTCCCGTGGGGGATCCCGAAAACGCCACTGAGCTGGGTCAGGTGGTCTTTGCCGGCTTTAGTGTCCTGGTTGAAGCCGACGCGGCCTACCCGGATATCCTGCTCGAGTTTCGTGCTCAGGCCGTCTGGCAAGCCGACTCGTCCTTGGTTCAGCCCTTTGTGGCTGCTTTTGATGGCCATCACTGGTCACCCGTCGCAGGGCAGGCCTACCGCCGCGATACCCGATCTGTGCTGATCGATGGCAACGCCTCGGCCCACTACGCTCTCTTTTGTCGCCTTCTGCCCGTCAATCGCCAAGTCCAAGCACCTCCAACGTTTGCGCCTGACTTGTTTGCCGAGGTGCCGGTACGTCTCCCACCTACACTTGCTCGCTCGTGCACTGTACCTCTTCACTAATAACCTCTACCCACACTCACACCTCACCAACACCATGGCTGCAAAACTGGGCGACAGGAGAATTTGGACGACGTCTTGACTGACGTGGCCACCTCCATTCCCTATGGTGGTGAGGTGACTGTGAACATGGGGGGCATCACCATCACGGGATACGACCGTGCCACCACCGAGTTGGATGATTTTGTGGCCACGGGTGCTCAGGCCAAACCAACCGTGGCCCTGCCTTCAGGCTTCTCTGGAACCCTGGCGAACCTGGGCCTGGCCGATCGTGTTCAGATCTTGCTCTCCGTGTTCACCAACAACGGCACGGCTGCCGATGCCGATGGTATTGTGCCAGCAGACCAGCTTGATTTTTCCGTTCTCAACTCGGGCCTCATTGTAGACGTGCGAAATCTAGCCGAGCCCATCGATCTGGCCTTCCGCACCACCTTCAACGCCAGCGATAATACCACCATCTGCCGCTTTTGGAATGCCAGCCTCCCCGTGGAAGACTGCACTTCCGGCACCTGCTTCGGCGCCTGGGATACGCGGGGCGTCTACAAGGTGGTGGAGCTCAGCAGTGGTCACGACCTCGTTTGTCGCACGACTCATTTGTCCACCTTTAGCGTCGGAATTGACTTTACCATCTCGGCGCCCCGCGTCAGCGTTGCCAACTTCAATCCCGCCAACGCCGTCTACATCTGGGTGCTGTGGGGTTGCTTTTATGCCTTTTGTGGCCTCATCTACCTGTACGCCTATTTGGAGCGTCAGGCATATGATCGACGCCAGGCCATGCTGGATGCCGGGGTCATGCTTCCCGAAGATTTGCCACCGGAAAAGACGCCGCAAGAGGTGGACCTGGATCTGGCCGAATATCGCTTTGCCTCGGGCTGGCTTTTGCGCTGGTTGTACATGATTCGCCAGAAGCACCAGTGGTTGGTCATCGTTCTGCCCTCGGGCAAGCGCGTGTACCCCAAGCGCGAGGTTCAGGTCACGGCTTTTATGGCCACCATCTCGATGGCCTTTGGCGCCATGGCCATCTTTGTGTATACGGAGGGTCAGCACAAGGGCGAGAACCGCAATACGTTTCGCATCACCGTGTCAGGGGATGACGTCTACCTTCCTCTCGAGGGTATATATGCCTTTATCATGACTTTCCCCTTTATGCTTCTACTCAGTCTCAGCCTGGCCAAGTACTCGACCTACCTCGATGTGTTGCGCCGCATTTGTCCAGAGCGCTACCGCAACCACGCCGCCGTTCGGGCCGTGAATCAAGAGATTGAAGCGGGGCATTTGAAGCGCCGTGTGCCATCGTCAACAGAGACGACGACCAAGGACCCGCCAGGGCCTGCCACGAGCAGCACGCCGAAAGGCGCCTCCGTGCCCTGGGTTCGCGAGACGGAGCTGCAGCAATTTTATACCTTTGACTTGGATGAGTCCAAGACGGAGTCATTGGGTGTTTCGCTCGACTATCTCGAGGTGGGCCCGGGCACGGAGACTACCGAGGAAGAGATTGAGTCACTCAACCGGAAAATGCTCTTCTTTCGGCGTGCTGCCTATGGGCTAGCCTATGGGATGCTTTTGGGTGGGCTGTTGTGCGCCCTCGCCTTTATGGGTTCGATGGACGAGGACGCACAGGTGCGCTATCTCAAGGGCGTGGCTGAGTTTCTCATCTTCTCGGCCATCATCACGTCCCCTTTTGTGTTTTTGCTGGCCTCGGCCATGCGGCAGTATCACATGGCGCGCCTACGCCAGCGCTATACGGATGAGGAGTGGCGGGCGCATGTTACTGCAGTGGTCGCGGCCGCGACTGCAATCGTCATGACCACTGCCATGATACAGAGGGAGATTGGTCGTGCCATCCGCGAGAGCTTTGATTTGGTCGTGCTTTGAGTCGTTGCAGCGTGATCGTGCCAGACGTTGATCCATAAGAACTTGTAATAATATATGGCTGATTTTCTGCTAATTTTCTGGCCTTTTTCCATCATTTTTTTTTTTTTTTTTTCCCTTCTTCTTCTTCTTCTTCTTCTTCTCCCTTGAGGTCTGCAGGCCCTTTTTCCGTACCTGTGCGCGTCGTGCTCGTGTGGTTGGGCTATGAGAGCCGGCATGCTCGTTCAGATGACCGGTGTTTGATCCAATTGGCCCGTAAAGTCAAATCGACATTCAATTTCGAATTCAAAGTGAGATCAGAGAGAGAGTAAGAGAGAGAGAGCAGAAAAAGAAGATCAAGTTGATATCGTGTGTGTGTGTGTGTGTGTGTGTGTGTGTGTGTGCATTTTTAAAAGACTCGGGGACACTGGCTGAGCGCGGAGATGGCGCCGTTTGTGACGTTTACGGAGGAGGATGTACCCGATCTGGCCGGTCGCGTGGCCGTGGTGAGGCGGGCAGCGTGGTCGGATTAGCGGGCAGCGTGGTGGGTAGAGAGGAGATCTCACGGCGATGGTGAGTGTGCGCGTAGGTGACGGGCGGCAATTCGGGCCTGGGCTTGGAGAACTGTCGCGTTCTCGCCGATCACAATGCCACCGTGTACATGCTCTCGCGCTCGATTGAGCGAGCCGAGCAAGCACGCGCAACCCTGGCTCGGGCCATTGGCGAGAAAGCACAGCGCAACGTGGGTGCTAGGTCTCGGCTCCACTTCGACACCTCTGCTTGTCAGTGTATGCATGCTTCACCCCACCCCCGCTCAAGGCGCTCCTGCTCGCCGCTGCTGTAGATCAAGATCGTTCGGCTGGACTTGGCCGATCTCGAGTCTGTGGCAGCCTGCGCACAGCAACTGACACAGGAGCAGGAACACATCGACATTCTCATCAACAACGTAAGGTTGTCGCGATCCCGGCGCACTCGTGGCTTGACCTGGCTCTTGCTCACCAAAATCACAAGCAGGCTGGTGTTATGATGCTGCCCTTCGGCCAGACCAAGCAAGGATTCGAGCAACAAATCGGCATCAACCACCTGGGGCACTTTGTGCTAACAGCCAAGCTTCTACCCTTGCTCCGCGCGAGCCGTGAAGCACGCATTGTGCAGGTTGACTGCTCTTCCACCCCCACCTTCCCCCACGCACGATTGCCGTCAAGCTAGCTCCCAGATCAAACGAATCGAAACTCTCATATACACCCTGCTGTGGTGCCGCCCTTGCAGGTATCGTCCGTGTACCACTGGCTCGCGGCCAAGGGAATACAACTTGATCACCTTGAAGGCGACGCCGCTTCATACAATCCTGACTTGGCCTACGGGTACGGAAGTTTCTCTCGAGGCCAGGACTGGTTCGGGTTCATGTTGCTCGCCGGCTGACTCTGGATTGCTTTTGTGCTTTGCTCTTGGTCAGGCAAAGCAAACTTGCCAACCTATTGTTTGTGCAGGAACTGCAGCGCCGATTGAATGCGGCGGGCATTAACAACGTTACGGCATATGGCGCGCACCCCGGCTACTCCGCCACCAGCCTCCAGGGCAAGGCTGCCAGCTGGCGCGGTTATGTCTTTGGGGCTGCCAATTATGTGAGTCGCACAGAGCCAAGGCGACGTGAAGATTGGAATACTGCCAAAATATCTGGCTCGGGGCAAAGAACAGCTCTATGGGTTTGCTCACTGAACCTCTTTTTTACTCTCCCTGTGCTGCGTCGCTCCCTGCCGCGCTACGGATCAACTAGGTGTTTGCACAGCCTGCGGCCCGAGGAGCGCTGCCGCAGTTATATGCGGCTGTGGCACCAGAGGCCCAACCTGCACGGTACTATGGGCCCAATCTCATGTTTGGAGCCTGGGGCTGGCCTACCGAGGCCGCAATGGCCGGTGCAGCCACGGACCCGGAAGCCGCCTCTCGCCTTTGGGAGGTCTCCGTGCGCCTGACTGGCGAAAACTTTGCTTCTCTCGAAAACAGCCGCTGATCGCTTGGATTGGTTTGATAACATACGACGGCGCGTCATTAGCCGGCGCTCTGCTTGGACGCGGCCACCCTGCGTGGGTAGACACGTGCCGCAAAGTCGTTCTACTCGTGCGTGTACACAAGATTCAAGTTCTAATTGATGTGTCTATGATGACAAGTCTCGGACAAGTCTTTAATACAATACTCTAAAGGTGGCCGGTGGTGCGGCCTGCTGCCCGAAGCGTGGCATGTGCATGCGCTTGTGTTCGCATGCGCCGCCCCACCAGGTATTGGGAATATTCCTCAAAAGTTGCCTGTCGACCTTGAGCCTCTGTCTGCCGCCTGCAGTGAGTTTGCGTGATCCAACAGTGAGAATGGCTCATTCGTTTGCTCAGTGTTTGCGACCCGACGACGAGAACATCCAAACATTACCGGTTTTGGGCTATCGATGCACGATAGGTCGTGGTCAAGTGGGCGCTGGCGCGGGTCAATGCCTCACTACGCCAAAGCGGTCGTTTACACCACACAGTCACTGAGCATCGCGGAGCAGAATGCATCATCAAACCGAGCCGCGAGGGTAGGCTTACCGCTCCGTGGCAGCGTGGTGTTGTTTTTGGGCACGCAGGCGCTGCACGCGGGCTTGGTGCTCTTGTTGCGCTTGCTGTCGCTGACGGGCCTCGGCTCGTTGCGTCGCCCGAGCCCGTTCACTTTACGTAGTCAGGTCAGCGCGGGACCAATGAGTGTGAGGGCAGTGCATTGGGCTGGGTGGCGCCCTGCGAGGCTCAAGGCTCACCTAATGCGCATGGCTTCTTGCTTTTGAGCTTGTTGTTGTTGAGCATGTGCCTCTTGCACTGCCGCTTGTTCGCGCCTTGGCCGCCACAAAGATCTCAATAAGTTGGATGCGTCAAGTGTGCGCAGAAAGCGAGGGCCGGCTGCTCACCGTGCTTCTTGCTGACGCCGCATGGATGATTCTATGATGCTGTAGTGCTGACGCGCGGCACGCTGCTGATGCAATTCGATTAACCGTTGCTGGTGCTGCCTCTGACGGCGCAGCGTCAAGCCGTCATCTGCCTTTTCCATGGAGCGTACTTGAGGGGGACGATTGCGTACAGGTGTGCCATGCTCTTGCCAACGCGCCTGGTGGGCAATCTGGCGACAGGGGCAAGGGGTCAAGATTTGTGCGCAAAGGCAGCTCCAAGCGGACATCATGTGCAGGAGATGGGGACGTACACGTTGGTTCTCAAGCCGTTGGGCGGCCGGGCTGAGCACCAAAGTGTTCCGACTGGAGGAGTGGGCACTGCTCTCCTCCATAGCAGCGAGAGACCTCTGTCCAAGGTTGATGGTGCTCTGACTCTCCTGTGTTGACCGCAACCCACCGAGCGAATGACTGTTCGCAAAGGGAGAAACACATGGATGAGGTATGTCGCTAGCCAAGAGGCACGACGGTCAGCACAGGAGGGGCCTGATCTGCAGAAAGAAAACAAAAAAACAAAACAAAAAACACACGCACACACACAGATGAACGGGTAATTGCGCTTTGATCATACCTGCGCGATACATCCAGGCGAGTTCGATGGCGAAGCGGTTGAGAACGCGTCAGCGAGCGCGTCAAGCGAGGTTCGGGGTCAGAAGAGCTCAGTGGTGATGGCACGGGCACATTCTCGGAGGCGTCAGTGCGCGTAGCGGATGGGAGTGGGGTTGCATTGATGGCGGGGGTCGTCGGCGTGCTTGTCAGCCTCAAAGGGGTAGAGGGTGTCCGCTGTTGCGGCGAAGGTGAAGTGGTGGGAGCCTGAGCACCAAACGAGGTGGCTACATTTTGAATTGTGGTGAGGGCTGATCAGTTCTCGGTGGCTGAGAGCAAGTGGTGGTAGCTGTGGCTGCTGAAGCGTTTGGGGAAAGAAGATCACACACCTGGATAGCGGGCCATGTGTTGGACTGCTAGACAAAATTCCGGAAAGGTGAGTGTGGCCATGTGCTCAGTTGAGGCGTGGTCGATGACCCCCGTCCAAAATTCGATGCGGGGCTGACTGGCACGGGCGGGGTCAGCTTGGCGATGAAGCACAACACCGGGGAGAAACACGGGTGCTGCGTCAGAGTTGGCCAGGGCCGAAGGCACGGCCAACACGTAGTCGGCATCTAAAAGCGTGGGCACACAGACAAAAACGTGATATCAGTCCATTGGTGATAGCCGTTGTGGTCATGAGAAAACGCATGGTGCAAGTGAGAAGTCCAGACAGAGGTGAAGAGAGAGAGAGAGGGTGTGTGTGTGTGTGCGTGTGTGTGTATGTGTGGACAGCATGGAGCGTTAGGATGGACAGCATCGAGGCGGGCAGGGCCATGATCCAACCTATTGCATTGTCTGGGCTGGTGTGGACCGGTTCATGTGCAATGACTGCAGTCAGATCAAAGTATAGTTCAGGTCCACCAGTGGGCAGGCGAACCAAAAGCGCAGGCTGGTCGGTTCCAGTTGGCGCCTCAATGCCACGAACGACGGCGGGAAGAAAGCCTGTGGCGACGGGCACGAAAACGGACTCGCCCACGATGGTGTCCAAGCTGTCTACAGCGAGAGGCGTGGTGCCGCTGCGTGGGGAGGAGGGCTTGATGCGGAGTGAGGGTGCAGAAAGGGTGGTAGCTACATCAATGGCGCTGTCTGCACCATCAGCTAGGTCCGGCGGGGCGTGGGTGCCGGCGTCAGCAGTAGGTATGGCCTCGTTAGAAGGGGCGGGCACGGTGTCTGCCGGCAGGGCGTCGTCTGCGGGCCCGTCGAGCAGCTGTTCATCTGTCCCTACGGCGCTGTCAGCTGGTGGCGGCATGTCGAACGTGTCTGCTGCTGTCATCGACGGAGGAGCAAGGTGCACTGGTGCAGAGCTGGAGGCCTGCTCATGCATATCGTGGAGAACACGATCGAGCTGGGTGAGCTGGTGGTCAGGGTAAAGGCGGGGGCTGAGCTGCTCTGCTTGTTGCAAAAGGCTGGGGGACATGCGGATGCAGGTGCCATTGGTGGCGGCTGGAAGCAGGACTGCAGGCGGGGCTATGGTAGCACTGGGTCCGATGCAAACGAGATCGAGGCGAAGGCCGCGTTTAGCATGGGCCTCAGCCAGCAGCTGCTGGCAGCGAGCGAGAGGGTCATCGGTGCCGTTGGCCTGGCCAAATTGAGCCTCGGTCAAGAACATAATGTGCTGTAGATCTTCTACTTGCAATGTGTCGGCCAAGCCTGGCTCCAGATGGTCCGTAGCAGGAGCGTTGGAGGTGGAACAGTCCTGCACCCAGTTTCGCAGTTCCTGCATCTGGGTGTGGGGGTTGGGCGGAGGAGTGGGGTGAACGGGATCGAGTCAAAATCAGCAGGACGGGACCAGACATTCTGCGCAAAATTTGAACAAAGGCCTGGTTGGGCTGAGCCACGAACCGCATTGGCGGGCGAGTCTTGAAGGGGAACAGGGGTGGGCGTAGCCCACGTGAGATTGGGCGCCAGTTTCCCGAGCCAGAGCCTTGTGGATAGGGGCCAGCAATGACGCAGAAGTGAAGGGGGGTTAGAGCCACGATGTACACGGGTGAGATGGCGTGTGACGATTGGGTTTGACCACTTGTGCGGCCTTGTCATACCGAGTGTCGGAAGTGTGGCACTGGGTATGAACGGAGAGCCACAGGAGTAGTTCTTGCGTGACCAGGGCAAAGTCGGCTGCGCTTCCTGACGTCACGCAGTCGAGGATGATGGCCGTCTATGAAGCCACCCGATGAGGCTTGTCAAGCAAGTCAAGACCAGATATCACCTTCAAGTGGAGCAGGGTACCGTGCTTACGGTGGTGCCGGGGCGTGGGGGAGGCAGGAGGGGGATGCGCTGGCCGTGGAGATGGGAGCTCCACGACTTGTGGCGTTCCAGGCGTCGGAGGAGGCGAGCGGCGTGCTGTTGGGTTGGTTCGCCATGCTCGGCCTCGTCTGCCTCGTCTGGCGTCGGTGATGGGGCAGCGACGGCGGAGAGCAGAGCAAGGTTGAAGTTGTCGAGGAGGATTTGCGCCTCCTCCATGACGGTGATTTCGGACGAAGCCGGGGGAGCGGTGCTATCGGGGCTGGCGATGTCGTTCTGGTATTCTGGCGGTAGCTCCACAGCGCCCTGCCTTTGTAGCGAGGGCGAGGGACGTGGCAACTGCGCCATGTCCGCAGGCGTTCTCAATCTTCTTCCCGTCTCGTGTGAGCAGCAGCGGTGCGGCATCAAATGTGAGCCGAAAACGACGCCCAGCTCTTGGTGCGTCCGAATGAGGCGGTTCCTATGCGCCGTGCATCCTGGCTTCCACAGCACGTGTTTCGACAGCATCCACACCACGATCCGACTGGGAACGCAAGAATCAGACGAGCAGATGGATGGACTGTGGGGGCGGCCCCCGCACGGTCAAGGGGTCATGCAGAAGAGAGATCGAGAGAGAGAGATCGAGAGAGAGAGAGCGAGAGAGAGAGAGAGAGAGAGGGATTCGGCGCCAAATTCTTGAAAATTTCATGTGTGTGTGTGTGTGTGTGTGTGTGTGTGTGTGTGTGTGTGTGTGAGTGTGTGTGTGAGTGTGTGTGCGTGTGTGTGTTTATTGGTGCCGCACTCTCTTGTGTTGCGAAGTGAGACAAATTATCTGACAATTCATCCAAGCTTGTTGATCTGTTGATACAGCTGCAACTACCTGATTGTCAGACTATGCTGTTGTAGTATAAAAGAGTCGAAAAACCGCAACATCTGTACGATTTGCGACAATAACTCGGGTATTGTCTCTTGGCGTTGTAAAAACCACTTCTGAACACATGTTGTCAACACTCTATGTAGGAAAGAATGACGTTTCTCACTGCGTTCGTGGATTCATTCTTGCTGGACAAATGCGCACACCGCTGCGTATCTCTGCTTTTACGTCACACACCCATGAGTCCCTCTGAGATCACTTCTATCCCTTCTGCTCTCTCTGAAACCTTACCTCTTCCTCATTATCGCCACAGGCCATCTGATCACATCTCTTCAACAACCATTGATCTGATCCACCTCTCTTCTCAACTTGCCGCCAGCTCAACGTCCCTCTGTGTGCGCAAAGGCCATCGAGCTAGCTCAACTGCACCTCGACGTCGTCGTCCTCTGGCTTCTCCTCCTCTGCCTCCTCCTCTGCCGCCGCCGCCTCCTCCTCTTCCTCCTCTTGCCTAACTCAGTCTACCTTTGAAGCCCCCTGCGCCTCCGCGTCTTCTGCTTCCTCTCCCCTCTCTTCTTCCGCTCTCCTTGGCTGTACCAAGGCATCTAGCAGCTGTCGGTGGCATCGCGGCCCCGCAATGCCAGCTTGGATCGAGATCAGATCAGCTCGCCCGTCTTCTCCATCGACCAACAGCTGGCCGTCACCTCCGCAGCTTTAGCTCCAAGATTCTTTGGCTGACCGCTGCATCGGGCAAATTCATCCAAGTCTTGCTCAGGCCCCCTCCGTCTCTTGGCGCGCATGTTTGAGGGCCCCCTGCTCACCCGGGTTGAGCCCCCCACCCCCCCCGACCTTGCGGATCCAAATCATCCATCTGGTGTTTTTGGCCGCGCCCCAGGAGTGCAAGCGCTCTTTCTCTTCTCCCGCGGGTGTCCGCGCGCCCATCACCCACACCGGCATCATGGGCAGCAACAACCTGTTTTTACAAATCTGCGGATCGATCGGCATCGTGCTCACCGCCATCAATTTACTGCCAATGCTCGTCATTGTTTCCTACCGCATGTGGATGTTTGCACGGGAGCGCTTTGTGCTTGTGACCCTGTTCTACGCCCTCGGTATCTCCTGCTACATGATCGTCGAGTCCTTTCCCACCGCCAGCACCGGTGCACTCGTGCAAGCATCCAACACCAACAGTCTGAGCTGGTGCATCTTCCTCGCGACGGGCCAATTCTTCATCAACGGCTTTATCCTCGAGCTTACATGCATCCTCTCCTACACCTTTTACTCCATCAACACCCTTTCCAACTTTCCCATCAAATTTGAAGTCTTTATGCACACCGCCTCGGCCGTCATCGCATTGTCCATGGCCATCGTCTCTGGCTGGTGGTGCAGCAACCACTGCAAAACGGTATGCCCCGGTGTTTCCATCCGCCTGCTTCTGGCCCCAGCCCTCCTTTGAGCATCTGCTGAGAATTCCGAGTCGGGCAAGGCTTTCATGCTTTGAAGCTTGGGGATTGTGAGAACGCATGGGCTTTTTTCTTTTGCTGCCACTTCTGTCGTTGCCACTCATGCTTGCTGCTCGTGATCACTTTCTCTATTTCCGGACCAACTTCTTCCGGCCGGCAGGAACACCCGGGAAGCTGTTTGTATCCCATTTTGACGGCTACCAAGGTCCGGGATGCCTTTATGGCAATCCCGTTCTTCCTCTTTTTTCGTGTGATTTTTGTTGTCCACACCCAGCACGCTCGCATCCGCACAGCCCAAACTGAGCTCATCGTACGTTCCACGCGTTGGCTCTGGCGCGCTCATTCGCCCGTCGCTTGCACCGCTCTCCTCGCTCCGGGCCACCTGCACCATGCTCAGCCGCCGCGCGTCTTCCACGATGGCTAGGAATGCAAGGCGTTGTCGCGCACTGAAAAGAGTCGTCACGAACAGCTCCTCACCATGTACAAGGCCACCATTAAAAGCGTTTACTCGCCCCTCAAGTTTTATCCATTGCTCTTCCTTTCAGTCCTCATCTCCGATGTGGTCATGCTCTCTCTCGTACGTTCTGGTTCCTACCCCTCCCACGCCCGCCTCGCCCGCTGGCGCTGGCTGAGTGTTCTGTGTCCAAGCTGCGGTGTTTCACATACCAGCATCTTTCTCATCGAGGGGGGTTTTCTTTGTTTGTCCCTTCACGTTGGCTCGTGAATGGCCGGTCTGGTTCGACTTGCTCATGGCCAGCTCCCACCGGCTGGGCTGCACGATGACGAAGCCGTTGGTCATTTTCACAAACGCACCCCGATCATCCATCTGCTTTGGATTGTGGGTGTGGGCTCTGGCTCATTCGTTCTCTTTTTTAGCCAAAAAGAGCACCGGTGAGTAAGCACTGCACGCTACCCAGGCAGTGAGGGTGCGCGGGCACCCATGTGTTTGGACTTTTACCCTGACGTCCCACTTGCGTTTGCCCAAACAGGGAGCGCCTCAATGTGCGCCGCCTACTCCAGCGTTGTTACGGGAAGCGTGTGCGGGTTGCCAAAAGACATGTAAGTGTGCCCATATGCGTGTGCGTGTGCGTGTGCGTGCGATCGCGCATGACTTAGCCCTTTTGTTGATGTTTTGGATGTCGGCTTTTCAAATCTAATTGCTCCTTGTGTGCCTGTGGTGCTGTCTCGTGCGCGGGTCCAGAACTACATTGTGTACGAGAACCCAGATGATTCCGAAGATGACGAGGCGGATGCTGGCATGGGAGCTGTTGCTACCACGCAGTTGGCCATGAGTGGCCCAGACGCAACGCACGAGTCACGGCAGCGGCTCATCAGCTCGGCCGTACCACCCGACATGTTGTTGGATGATGAGGATTATGAAGATGCCTCAGGCCTCGCTGCCAAGGTCCTACGGGCCCAAGACACCATCAAGCGCAAGAGCCGCGATGGATCATATCAGCCCCCTACCCTTGGTTCCAGCAGCTCGCAGGTCAGTCATTGGTACCTTGCCACCACCATGCGACGTGTAGGCGGGCGGCGTGTTCATGTTCTTTTGTTTCCATGTCTCGAATTGTACAGGAATCGGACCACGATTATGAAAACACGCCGATAAATGACGACGAGAACGCGCCAGTTCACGACTACGAGAATGCGGTGGGCAGCGATTATGAGAATGCCGCTCCGGCTGTGTCAACCCAGGTGACAGATCGGGATGATGCGCCAACGAATGCGTAGTCGCCATTCCAACTGATGCGCGCCGAACGGTAGCAGAGGTGTCTCTGCGGTCCGGTAGATCTCTTTTAGCTTTTCACCATGGCAATGAGTGTGCTTGTGGGCATGAGAACAGGCTGCTGTCCGTGGTTGCACTATTGTGCCACCCTCATGGCAAGCCGCTTTTGCTCTCGGTAGTTTTTTTTTTTAAACGACTCTTTACATTGTTTCGTCTCATTCGCTTTTTTTCCAAGCCTGTATGCTCACATTTCCCGGTCGAGACGGCGCTACAAGGAGAGAATTGCGCACTAAAATCAGCAGAGAAGGGGCATCAGGAAGAAAAGAGGGAGAGAGAGAGAGGGGGAGAGAGAGATTCAAGAGATTCAAGAGATTCAAGAGATTCAAGAGATTCAAGAGATTCAGAAAGAGAGAGAGGGAGAGAGATCTTTAGGGAATTTGAGATTAGAGAGATGCAGAGACGGGCAGATAGAGGACATGGACCTCGACTCAGACAGAGATACCGAGAGTAGTGGCAGCGACAAAAACAGAATTATAAAGCCAGAGGGCCACAGAGAGCCACAGAGAGCCACAGAGAGCCACAGAGAGCCACAGAGAGCCACATAGAGCCACAGAGAGCCACAAAGAGCCAGAGACCACAAGAGCACACACTCCCATAGAAAACACCCTCCCTCTCTCTCTTCTCCCCCAAGAAAAAAAAAAAAAAAGTCATCAAAATCGCACAATCCGTGAAAAAGGGTTGGAGCCCTTTCACGAATTTCCGTCATTTGCTTCTCTGGTGCTGGTGGTTGCTGGTGCTGGTGCTGGTGGTGGTTGCTTACGGCTGGTGGGTGCGACAGGTACTTGCTACTGGTGGTGGTGGTGCGCCTGGGTGTGCCTCGCCTCTCTCTCTCTGTCCAGTCACATTCGCACACACACACATTCACACACACACACACACCCCGCGTGTTAGCCAGTGCTCACAAGACGTGACTGTTGTGCTCTGTCGTCTGGCTGTTTCTCCCTTCTCTTGGTTTCGTTAGCTCGGTGCTCACACGCACGCATTTACCTCAAGGGTGCTGGTGGCGATTGCACTGCATCTTGATCTCGTGGTGTGGGTCGTCCTTTAAGCTCCTTTTGTTGAGTGAACAGTGTGGCTGCCACATATGAGGTTGTCATCCGCCGACGCAGTGCTAGAACTTACTGGAACCAGGTCTTCTTGGCTGTTCTGTCTGCTGCACGTCGCTACGCTGCCAAATCGTGCCCTTGGCACACTCAGTCCCAACCATCGAAACCCAGCGGGTAAAGCATCGATAAGATGGCAGACTCCGTACGCAGCCAGCTCCTGGAAATGGGCTATCCCACGGAGGACGTGGATCAGGCCATCCGTTCGGCCGGTCACGTCGAAACCCCCAGTGATGTGCTTGATGTGTACGTTGTGCTCGCATCGCCCCTAGCAGCCTCTTCGCATCAGTGCCTCACCGTGTCTTTCCCCGCCCTCCTCTTCCAGACTGGCCGGAATCGCTCGCTCACGATCCGAACATCAAGAGTTAGTCATGCTCCCACCCGCTCGTGTCGAACCCTCTTGCCCCTTGGGCTCCCGTTGTCGTCTGGCTGACATCTTTTGCTTTGACCGAATGGCCCGGTAATTAGACCGTACCTGGCCGTGGGCGAGGCCTGGTGCTGCGATCAGTGTCACACCATCAACTCTGCCACAGCCTTCCCCTGCACCTCGTGCCAATACCCGCTCGTGGTAACCGATGCCATGAAGACGGCCCTGGGCTTCTTCGATGGCAACACATCCGGCACCTATGTCTCGCTGACCGCCCCGACGGCCCATCCGCGTCGTGAGCAGGACCGCCACCAGCATCTCACCGCCGCAGGGGATGCTGGAGCGCCGCATGCAGCCACCGATCAGGATAGCAACGCCCCACCACCACTCGTGCTCTCTCCCGATCATCACACGGGCACCGGTTCGTAGCAACAAGCTTCCACCTTGGTGCCCTCCTCCTGTCAGTCCACCTTTTCTGCCTCATCTCGACCCTGGCTGACCTCAACGCACCACATACAGGTGCCGTCTCTGTCCATGCCTTTCAGTGCCCCATGTGCTTTTTCGTGGGCGATCAGCCTCCCTGCATCCTTTGCACGTTTGACCCAAACACTGATGAGATGCCCCTGCAAGCCGACGAGCAGCAACAGCAACCGTCCGTCAGTTCTCTGTCGTACGTCATGCAGTCCTGACCCCCCCTGCCACTGCGGTCACCTCGGTTCCTCCTCACATCTGCTGAATCCATGGGCAGTGATGATTTTGAGCTCTTGCAAATGGAGGTCGAGGCTCAAGCTAAGGTTGTTGGTTAGTTGATAGCTGGCTCCACCCACATTTCACTCTACTTGTGTATCATTATCTCACGCTCGCTGGTGCAGTCTTTGATACTGCCGCCGACACGGGTGCGGTATGCCTGGCCGAAGGCGGCTTTCGCTTTCGAGTCTACGCACCTCATGCCACGCGCGTTGAAGTGGCCGGTGACTTTAACAAGTGAGTAGCGTACAGCAGAATCAAGGAGTGCCAGCCCTGGACCTTTAACCAGCTTGCTCAGGGCTTGCTCATCGTGTCACTGCATCTTTGGTAGTTGGCATCCTGAAGCAACTGTCCTGTCCCGAGAGCACGACGGCCATTGGCGCGGCAATGTTCAAGAGGCACAAGCAGGTGTGGTTCATGACCCCACGTATCTTGCCAAGGCAACCCTGATGTGAATTGCCATCATGCCAACTCACCTTCCTTGCTTGCCGATCCATACCAGGCCAGCGCTACCGCTACCGTGTTCATTTCAAACGCAGCGCCCAAATGCCCTTGACTCCATCAGCCATCGATGTAAGCGCGTCACTTCTCGCGTGCTGCCCTGTCTCGAGTCATCTTGAGCTTATTTTTCCGCGCCCTTGGGTTGGTTTTTGCTTCCAATCCTACCAGCAACCCAAAAATACGGGCGGCACCATAGCTGCTTGGCGTTGCGACCCCCGTGCTCGTGTAAGTCTGCCCCCCCTGCCCGATATTTCAACTTGGCATCATATATCCTAGTTGGGCAAAGGGGAAAAAAAACCGGCGTGCTCAAAGTAAGGGCCAATCTTGCGGACTTGTTGAATAACGAGATGGATGTGATGGTGGACAGATTATCGAGCGAGATGCGTTTCAGCGTCGCCGATTCAACGCCGTTCTTTACGACAACAGTGGCTTTACCTGGACGGTATGTCCATTGGCCGCAATACCGTCGATCGGCATACTGCTCTCTCTCTCTCTCTCCTGAAACGTGCATGGCTTCAGATTGGCTCATGTTTCAAACGCTGTGTCTGGGGGCAGGATGCCGGCTTTGAGCGCCCCAATTTGCAGGAACTTGTGTTGTGCGAAGTGCACGTTGCCTCCTTTTCCAGGTATCGAGCAGCACAATCGGTCTCTTCTTGAACTCGCATGTCTGTCCTCCCATCTCGTATCCGCTTACAACTGCATTGTGCGCCTCAACACAGTTCGGGCGATGCCATGGGCACCTTTGACAATGTGATTGAGCGTCTGGATTATCTGGTCGATCTGGGTGTCAACGGTCTGGCTCTCATGCCCGTGTCCCAAGATTATCATCCCTGTGAGGAAGAGGACTTTCATTGTTGGGGGTAAGAAAGCACTCCAGCGAGCATGTGGTTCAAGTCAAATCGGGATCCGGTCTCTGGCGCTCATCATGTCGTGTTTTGACTCAGGTACGATCCTCTGTCTCTTTTTGCTGTGCAAACAAGCTATGGCGGTCCGGATGGCCTGAAGCGTTTGGTGAACGAGGCCCACTTGCGTGGGATTGCGGTGGTCTTTGACTTTGTGCCCAACCACATGCATAATCGCAATGTTCTTCAATGGTTTGACGGCACCAACCTGTACTTTGCCGATGGTGCGTTTCTGAGCCAAGCGCCCCTGTGACAGCCAAATTAATCATTCGCCATCACATCATGCTTTTTTGCCGTCGACGTTTCAATCCACAGAAACAACGGACTGGGGGCCGCGGCCGCAGTTTGATGATCCCGTGGTGCAAGATTACATTATCGACGCCGCAGTACGCATGCGACATTGCTTGGCGTGTTCGACGCACGGGCCAACCACGCCTAGCTCTTCAAGACCTCATCTTGCTCACCCACGCTGTTCAATGGCATAGCTCTCCTTTTTCCGTGATTTCCACATGGATGGCATTCGCGTGGACAGTACTCCCAACGTGCGCGGCATTGGCCGTGACTTGCCTGGTGGCTGGCAGCTATTGCAGGTCCGCGGCGCGTCCGCGCCACACGTGCTAAAACTTGCACGCGTAGCTGTCCGCGCTTTGCATGCGTTGTAGACTCTTGGGTTATCTCGTTCACCTTGAGATCTGGCATGTATAGGCGCTGAACGATGCCGTACACGAGCGTTATCCAGATGCATTTACCATTGCCGAGGATTTGTACGATGATCACCGCCTCAACACGGGCGGGGCTTGCTTTGACCTTCAGTGGTGCCAGGGCACCTTCAAGGTGTGTTCAACACGCTGATGCGTGAGCCCGGTCCTTTTTGCTTTCATGCAACAAGTATTTCGTCGGTTGTTAAGTCTTGTTGGGGTGAGAGCTCACCGTCGACATATCCTGCTGTGCCAGTCACTTTACCAAATTGCCACGGCCGTTGAGGACCGTACACGCGACTTGCAAGCCCTGGCCAGTACGTGTGGTCTTGCTTTTGCTCTTGCCCTTTGCCTTGCGCCTTTTGCCCAGGTCCAGTTTGTTTTCTTCCAACTTGATCCCTCTGCTGTTTCAACCGATATCAGATCATTTGGAGCACCCACATCCTGGGCCTATGGCTGGACGCATTCTTTTCACGGAAAACCACGACACCGTGCCCGGTGATCGCGAGCGGCGGATACCTTTGGCAATCACCCGTGGCGTGGCCGGCGTTGATCCACATCAAAACTTTTTTGCACAGCGTCGCACCACGGCCATTGCAGCGATCATGTTGACGACACCGGGCGTCCCCATGCTCATGCAAGGACAAGAGCTTCTCGAGCTCAATTCACCCGTCTGGCCCGAAGGGCCAGCCATCGATTGGCACAACCGTGTCAAAAACTTTGGCATCCATCGGTGCGTGTCCCAGCTATTGGTTTTACGCGTGGTTATTTAGCACGCACACCTCACAACCGACCACCATGCGTTGGTGGGTGTACGACAGCTTGTTCAAGGATATGATTGCGTTGCGCCGCAACCTCGAGGGCAAGACGCTGGGGCTGACGGCACCGAATGTTCGCGTTCATCACTTGAATCCCGAGAATTCCATTATCGCCTATCATCGCTGGTCGCGTGTATGTATCTCCGTCAAGACCCCACATGTTACTGTCGCTTGCCTCTGCTTTTGCCTGCCTGTCTGCCAGCCTGCCTGTCTGCCAGCCTGCCTGTCTGCCGGCCTGTCTGTCTGTCTGTCTGTCTCCATCTGGATCTCATGAATGATTGTCGTACTTTGCGCAAATGCAGGGCGGCTGTGGTGACGATTGCATTGTGGTGGCCAATTTCTCCAACCAAAACTTCAGCTCGTACCGCCTCGGCTTCCCCCGTGACGGTATGTATAGTGCTTTGCCTTGATCTTATACGGCACACTGCGCGCAAATTTGATAGGAACTCTTGGCTACTACACGCGCAGGCGAGTGGCGTCTGCAGCTTGACACCTCTGATGACACGTACAGCGATCTGAATCTGGCAACACGGGAGGTCTTCCCAGTTGACAGCATTTTCGTCGACCACTACAATCCTCGAGATGGGTACGCCAACAGCAAACTCATTGCAGTCAACTCTTTCGTTTGTTCCCATTCGATTCCGCTTATACTGTGCCGCCTCGCTTAATGTCACTGTGCTTTAGCTACCCATTTTCTGGGGCCACACCCTTGCCACGCTATTCGGTGCTCATGTTTGCGCAGGTACGACCTGCAAGCACTGATTGCAGGCAATATCTGACCCTCCTCATCAGGCGCCATTCAACTTATTAGGAGCCCATTGCGCGCCTCGTGTTTCGTGTGCAATACGAGACAGACTTTGGTGACCAAGTTTGCGTCTGCGGCAACCTGGAAGCCTTGGTACGCAGGGCATTATCACTACTGTTTTTTTTTTTAAATTTTTTTGCAGTCACCTTTGGCTAAAACACGGCACAATGTCTGACATGCGCTGCTGGTCCTCTTTTACGTCGTTCTTCCAGGGCTCATGGGAGCAGCCGGTGCCGCTCAACACCAACCTGGGTGACGCCCCAGTCAGTACTGCTTGCTGCCCTGGCAAATTGGTCTCGAGGGGCCATCGAGCTAGCATCTTTCAATACTCACCCATTGATGTATTTTGATAGTACCCTTGGTGGCAGAGCAATGAAATTATCGTGAGCGCCTACACACCACTTGAGTTCAAAATTGGTGAGTGTCGGAATTGGCGAAACCTGGTGGGCAGAGCTGATGATTTGTTGCGGAAGCTCTACCGCTGTTTGGCTTGCTTCTGACAAGAATGTGGTCACCGAACGAAATAGTTTTGCGCTGCGGCAATGGCGAGCTGGTTTGGGAGACCCGCGAAAACCGCACGCTGGTGGCTGGGCGGGGACGCCAGCTGGTCTTTTTGGGACGCAACTAAGAACGCCTTGCCAGAGCATCAGATTTGGGCTCGAGCCATCTCAAAGTTGGAACCGGTGACTTTTACACCATGTAGAGGCGAACAGCCGATTTGCTGTGAATGCTGATCGAGTGGAATCTTTTTCCATGTCAATAGTTGGTCTCCAAGTTTCGGTTGTTATTGTCGTGGGGTTTCGATTTTTGTTCTCTTGTAACGATGCACCTTCGAGTAACTACATGCTTGTGTCGGCTTCCGTGAGTTTTGATTAGAGTGCAGGCCAGCAACGGCCGATGTCGACGAGGTCAGGGATCAATTAAAAGGAAAAATGAAATGAGACTCAGTTTGGCAGAAAATTGCTGCGGTGGATGGTGTCGGGTGAGTGGGACGCCAAATAAAAATGAAAAGTACCCACGGGGCGCTATCGCCCATTGTTCATGTTTTGCCCGGCGGCTAGAGATTGTCTGGGGCAATCTCTACGCTGCGGAGGCGCGGCGACATATCTGGTAGAGTTGAGCGCGCCGAATTTGCATCTGGATCAAAAGGCACGGTGCTACTCGCAGATACATGTGCACCCGGGGGAGCATATGTCCGCGGGCGCACCAAGGTAGCACCAGGCCGCGCCACGGCGCCGCTAATCGATGGGGCTGAGCTGACGATCTGGGGTATCACTGCATTGGGGAGGGGCCGGGACGTTGTGGTGGCGGGTGACAGGCCAGGCTGCAAGCGAGCTGCACCGAGCTGATTGAGCTGGCGGGCACTTGGCGCCTGATGTCGATTGGGTGGGGCGGTGCTGGGCATCAGAAGACCATGGGGGTTGAGACTAGCTCCGACCGGCCCTTGACCCAGTCTGTGTGGGTGGCGCGTAGCGGGGTTGCCGTTGACATTGTATCCAGGGTGTGCTAGGGGGACGCCTGGCTCGCTGATGCGTGTGCTTATCCTGCCCATATTGCCGTGCTCATGACGGCCATGATGAAGGGGCTCGTTGCCCAGCTCATTGCCGTGGTGGTCGGTGTCGTCCTCCACGTCATCGTCGTCATCGTCATCGTCGTCATCCTCCTCCTCTTCCTCACCCTCGTCATCTTCGTCGTCGTCGTCGTCATCCTCATCGTCGTCACCACTGGCGTCATCCCGTGCATGGCTACCGGCGTAGATGTCCCCCCGTGCATCGAGAGCATCATCGTCCGTGCCGGTGGCGCCGCCTGGGATGAAGGCATGCACTTGTGACCGTAGTTCATGGAGGAGCTGATCGGCTTGGTCCATGCGGTAGATGGTTTCCGTTTGCAAAGCCTGCAGGGCATTGACGTGGATGGTGACTTGCTTGTTGCAGCGTGCGAGGTGTTCCACGTGTTCCTCGGTCTTGCGCAGCAGAGCGAGGACGCGGCCTTGTGGGGTGGTGAGGTCATATGTTAGAACGGCGCGACCTGCCGCGTTATGAAGGGGTTGGGGGTCGACCTGTTGAGCCACAACGGCATCTGACGCGGCCTGGTCATGCTGCGCGGCCTGGAGCATGTGGTTAGCAGCAGGTAGGGCCATGGCACCGTAGGGGTCCAGGCGCGCACGCTTGGGGGCAGGCAGCGCAGCGACGGTGGCGTTGTTGTGGGTGGAAGCACTGGTGTCGGTTGGAAGTGGCGCAGCACTGAGTTCCAGGCTGGCGCCATCCTCAAAGGCCATGGCCCCCTCCATTCCCACGGGTTGGGTGGGCAGCAGGCGCTTGGGGTATGCCTCGATGGCGGGGCCACCGCTGACGGAAAAGGCCTGGGCGATGGGCGTGTTTTCGCGAGCGGAGGGCAATTTCATGGTGGAGATGATGGACCAGTCGAGTTTGAGCCAGGGGCAAATGTCCCGGCCCGGGCGCATGGTGTATCCAAAATGCTTCCAAACACCCTGAGAAGCACCGTACTGATGAGATGACGCCACGACATTTCTGTTCAGTCAGCAGCATTGTACCTGTGTGACGTAGGTGTGGCAGGCTTCACAAAATACGCGAGTTCGGTCGGTGCGAAAGCCGATGCGTCGATTGCTGCCAGTGATGGTCACAGTGCGGAGGAGGTCAGGCAGCATGACGCTGTCCAGGCGGGCCTTGATGTCCATGCGTTGAAGCGCGGCCTTGACATCGTCTTTGCGTGCAATCTGTTGAAAATGCGCAGTCGTTTCAGAACGGTGAGCTGATGTCAAGTGCGGTGCAAAAAAAAAAAAAAAAAATAGAATGACGACCACCAACCTTGCGCTTGGGTAACTGGCCCACAATACCCAGCAAAAGAGCGTTGTGTGTGTGTGTGTGTGTGGTGGGTGACAGGCCGGTGCGATGAGTGATTGGTCATGGCAAAGGAGCACAGGCTCTCGGCTGCACGCACCGGTGGAGATTCGTCGCGCAGTGACTGAGCGGCTGGGGCAGGTTCATCGTTGACGTGTGCCGGCTGCACAGTCAGATGGGTAAAGCAAGTCACAAGTCAGGCCATGCGATGCAACGCTGCCACGCGGACGCGCCACCAAAAAAAAAAAAAAAAACCAGATCAGACGTACCGCCGGCACGGCAGGTTCAAAGCTCATGTCCGCGGTCCAGGCATCCGATCCACCACGTCAAATGCATCCGCATTCAGCTTCAACAAGACGGACAATCCCCTCAATCAAATGCCATCCCTTCCCCCGCTCCCCCTTCCCTCTCCAGGTCCAGGTCTTGAACAGCGCAGCGCCGCCCGCCACTTTTAGATCCCGACGTGCACCTGAAAATAGAAAAAAATTTAATAAAAATGCGCGAGAGAGAGAGAGAGAGAGAGAGAGCCAAAGCAGGCAGGTGGCCAAGGTTGTTCTTCATAAAGGTAAAATACTTTTGATGTATCTAGTCGTGCTTGGTGTTGCTCGGAAGGGATTTGCTGTATGGGAGAAGAAAATACTTTGTCGGAGTTGGTCCGTTGCATCGAGAATACTTCTTCGGACAGCACGCCGCCCTTAAACGCACGACAAGTCAAATACATTACTAATTAAGTAAAATACTATATAGTTCAGGGAAGTAGTATCATGTGGTAGCGCTATTCATAGCAACACAACATGACAACAAACAGCTTGACAAGTCATCCACCATCTCTACCATCACAACGCTCATCGCCTCCTGTCTCTGACTTTCCTTTGAAGCCACAGGCGTTTGTCCTTCAAGCCACACCTGATCGGGGTCAAACCTCTCATTCCTCACGCCCAGCCATTACCCATCTCTGCACCATATATAACACCCTGACGAGCCCGCCCGTACAGCAGCAGCAGCCGCAGCAGCAGCAGGTCGAGTCGAGGCGCATCGGGTCGCTCCTGGTTCATTTGGGGTCCATCCAACGGACGGGACCGTTGATCAGGCTCGGGGTACCGCATTGGGCGTGGTGGGTCAAAAAATACCTTCTTCGAGCGGGTTTGGAGCAGGTGAGCCCGGGGGCTGTGCGGTGCAAGTTGATCACCGCACTCCGCCCGGCACCATGCTCGAGACGGAGCTCGCCGCGGGACTGTCCTCGCTGGCGACGCTGGATCAGGTGCAGCTGTTGGGCCACGAGCCCCTGCAACAGCTCTTTCGTGCCATCGCCGCCAAGTTTGACCAGTATGACCGCCTCCTGGTGCCTGGCAAGGCACCGACAGCCGCCGGCACCGGCGGCAGCAGCAGCAGCGGATTGGTCGTACTCGAGCGTCAGCAATATGAAGCGCTTGAGCATCGGCTCGAGACCCTGGAAAATGCTCTCGTGCAATCGCGCGTCCAAGCCATTGCTAGCTCCCCGCTGGCTCAAATGGCGGCCGACAAGCGCCACAACCTCCGCCTGGAAGACCATGTGATCCCACTCATCAAACTCGATAGCCAGATCAAGGGCTGCCGCACCGGCGTCGAAGCCAACGCCGCTGGCGTCGAAGAAGTGCGCGAGAGCGTCGCCCAGGTCGCCGAGGCTCTGCATGCAGAGCTGCAGCGCGAGCTGGCCCGCATGGCCACCAAAGAGGAGCTCAGCGCTGTCGAAGCCCGCGTGGACGCCGTTGATACCCGCGTGACTCAGAATGAAGCGGCCGTGACTCAGATCAATCAACGCATCGTCAACCTCGAAAGCCAGATTGCCGCCTTGGCCACTAGAGCTGCCAACTTGGAGGACGGCATGCTTGAAGTCCAGCGCGAAGCTCGCCAGCTGCGCGACACCGTTGACACTGTCACCGAACGCGTAGGCTCCATTGAACGCCAAATGCAGGGCCTGCAAACCCTCAGCGAGAAGCTGGCTGAGCTCGAAGACCTGGTCAACGATGCCGCCACAAAAACAGATCTCGAACAACTTCGCCACGGTCAGGCACCTGGCCCATCTGGTTTCTCGGCCTGCCTCCCGTCGTGATGCGCCTCTGAGCTGACCACCGCTTGCGTCCCTGGGTAGACTTGACGCACACGATGACACAGCGACTGGACGGCATGCAGCGGCAGTTCAACACTTTGGAGAACAAACTGGAGGAGCACGATTCTGAAGTACAGGTCCGTTGTCCTCGCCCACGCGCTACCCCAGTTGAGGCTTGAGCAGCGCTCACCCTGCTCACGACACACAATCCTCGCCATTCGGCAGGAAATCCGGCAAGGCCTGGACAAGGCCAACTTTAACATTCAGCGCTTGGGTCAGCTTACTCGCCTCGCGTCTGCTGCGCCAACTATGCTTGCCTCGTTTCATGTCGTTCCCTTTTCATCCATTTCATCTCGTCAACCTTTGGGCTGCCCTCTACAGGAGCCATGCAAAACAGCCTGCAACAAGCTATGGCAAGCAATGTGGCGGCTCGGCCCGCCTCTGGCCACGCCGGGCCCACAAACGCTAGCTCGCGCGCAGCTTCAGCTGCTACCGCAGGCGCCAGTACCCACGGCGGCAGCATGGGTGGCATGGCCAGCAACAGCGTCAGCGGAGGTACCAGCGTTGGCTTTGCCATGGGCGGTAGCAACCTGGGTGGCGGCAGTTTGGGTGGTGGTAGCCTGGGCGGCGGCGGCGGCGGCGGCCTGGGCGGCGGCGGCTTTTTTGGTGACGATATTTACAAAACCTTGGATGTCATGCAACGTGAAATTGTGGCGGTTCGTTCATCGCGCCGCAAGCGCAGATGCATGTCTCATGTGCTCTGCTAGAGGCCCTTGCCTGGTGTCGTTGTCTCATTGCCGTCACTGCACATCACGCCGTTCCGCACTTCTCACTCCATAGCTGAAGGAAGCGGTGAGCCTTGTCTCGGAGGATTCGGCCGCTGCCACAGAGGAGGCCATTTCTGTATTACAGGCGCGGGTTGAGGAGCTTCAAACGGCCAAGGCCGACCGTTCGGCGGTTGAACGTGCCCTGCAGGTATGGGTGTTTCCCCAGTCCCGGCGTACGATCCATGGCTACTGGCCTTTTGTGTTTAACATCCTACCTGTCTTTGTTTGTGGTTAGGTCAAAGCCGATCGCGATGCGGTGGCTCGTGACACCGAGCGCAACCTGCGCGCGGTTGATGAGGCCCTGACCGTCATGAATGCAGGCACCCAGGGCGTACAGCAACTTTTGGATCAACAGGTGCGCCTTGCCCAGCCCAGAGATTTGTGCTGCAGTCGTGTCCGCAAACGGCGCTCCCCCTCCCTTTTTGTTTTTTTCCACACCTGCCTGCGTGCCCCGCGGCCCATTTCTTTTTGAATTGACACATGCACCTTGGCATGTAGGGCGAGATGGTGACGGCATTGACAACGCGTCTCGAAGACAAACTGGATCGCCGCGAGCTCGAGTCCCTCAAGGCCAAGCTGGCGGCCGTCAGCCAGGGCTCCCACAAGTCACCCGAGGAAATTCGTCAGCAACAAGAGGCCATCTACGGCCAGGTACGACCAGCCCACCGCGCACCCTTGGGTCCATGCTTTACCCACTCGATCGGCACCTGATGAGTGCCTTTGATGCGAGTAGTATGGCATTTCGCCCGAGGATGCCGCTGGCATGGCACGGCAAATGGACCCATATCGATGCATTTCGTGTAACCATCCACTTCAACCACGCGGCCAGGACAGCGCACCGAGTACGTCGAACATGTCCCGTGCAATCGTCAATGCCTAGCGACTGAAGCATGATTTTTTACACTTGCCAAGCCGAAACTTACCCTTGCATTTTTGCCGGGATGGCTAGCCTTGCCCTTGATGCCACCCACGGGCGATCGCAAGACGCCCTATGTGGCCGCACGCAAAGGTGGCACTCGGCCCAAGAGTGGTAGTGTCGGTAGCTCTAGCCAGGTACCCACAAGTCCCTTCTTGTTGTTTCCAAGTGGAAGAGGCGACCTTTTGCTCGACCGTTGATGGTTTAGAGAGAGGCTCTGAACTCATGTCGTGGGCGCCGCAGGGTCACCCGAGCAACTTGCGCTCCGCTGGCGGCAAAGCCTCCACTATGGCGCGGGTGCGATCAGCCACCCGGAGACGGAGCGAACAGATTGAGGTAGGCAATGTGGTTCGGCCTCTTGCCCTTGGCGCGAGCCAGCCCCACGACCACTCAGCTGGGAAATTTCTTTGTGCACTCTCGTGGTTGTCGGACTTCAGGTTCCCGTCGAGGCCTCTAGGACTGCGACGGCCGTGATTGGCGATGACGGCCGGGTCTACCATGGCATCATGCCCGGTGGTGGTGCACAAATTCTGCCCCGGCCCACCTCGGAACGGCCCTCGACCGCCTTGCGCCGCAGCAATAGCAACCAAGATGGCGGTTCAAATAACAACGCCACGGAAAAGCTCGGCTCCAGCCCCCGCGAAGCCAGCCTGCAGCTCCCGCCATGAGCAGCCATGTGCGACTCTAGTCGTGTAGCGTAGTGTACACATCCCTTTAGAGAGAACCAATCCCCCCCTTGTGGGCTTGTTTGTGTTGTTGCTTTGACATTCCCTAATCGACACCATCTTTCTCCTCTTTGCTTGCAAGCGCTTGCTTTTCTTGAATGTCAGACAACGTTGACGTCATCAGAAGCTGGGGGGGGGGGGGGGGCTCGAAATGCTGAGCTCAGCAATCATATCTGCTTACATGGTGCTGAGCTCAGCCAAATGTTGCTGAGCTCAGCACGATGCAACATAACATTTGGCTGAGCTCAGCACGATGCAACATAACATTTGGCTGAGCTCAGCAGGTGCGTGTGTGTGTGCGTGGGGCGTTGGGCGGATAAGTCGTTCATTTATCTTTTTCGTCGGATGGTGATCAAGTTGCTTCCGAGCTTTGAGTGACCGACCAGGATGGAGGGCTTGGAGCAGTCGTTGGCTGACTTGAACGTGAACGCACGCGATGGCAGCATTACCCTCTCCTTGAACCTTGATGTGCCTGTCACTGACGAGCAGAAAGAAGAAGCCAAGAAATTCGTGTTAAAGCACTTTCCAAAGGCTTGGGACAAGGTGGGCGAGATCAACCTCTTGCAAGCTGCCTATGAGGCGGTGGCCAAGACCCTTGGCGTGGCAGAAAGCCTAAACATCAGCCAAGACGACATCTATCCCAAAGAATGGTGGACCGAGGTGTTCAAGGTTGAGAAGCTTTTGAAAAAGCCGAGCAACGTCAAGGCCATTGTGATGGGGGCGGACCCACCGGGCAATTTATGGGGACCGCATGCGACGGGTGTCGCGTTTCATCTGCCATATGCTCAGAAGAAGAACAGCGTTCTACAGGCGATGTTGGAAGAGTACGGCATTGACTGTTTTGGCGACAATGCGCGCACATGGACTAAGAACGGAGTTGCCTTTGTCAATTTTGTCCGGACGATCCCATTTGGTTCAAAGTCTTTGAATGCTAACCCGTTCCTTCCATGCTGGGAGGGTTACACAATCAAGTTTCAGGGCTACACGGCTGACAACAAGCTTCAGGTCATCTGGTTTAACCTGCGCAAAGCCGATCACAAGTTCAACTACGACTTGGGCTCAAAACTTGGTGAAGACCGTCTTGATGTCATTCGATGTGCGCACCCAAGCGACAAAGTCGTGAATTCTGGGTCCATCTCAAAATTGCTTGCTTTTTTCGACAAGTTAAAGAGCAAGAGCGGTTCCGCTCACCTGCTCACGGACAAGACAGTGGCAATGCTGAAGGCACTGAAGGCGTTGTCCGCAGCAAGTCTGAAAGAAAATGATGATGCTGCAAAGGTGAAAAATGCACTGCCAATGATCTGCCAGCAAATGATGCTTGCTTCTGCAGCCAGTCAAATGCAAGCGACACTCGGCGAATTATCAAAGTCGACGGCGGACAAGGGACTGCAATTTGTTTATCTTCAAAGCTTAGCGCAACCAACAGTCTTTTCGGAGACTCAAAAGGAGGCTCAACGATATTTTACGAACAGACAATTGGCAGCAACTACAACAGATGCAGAAGCAGCAGCAATAGCGGCAGAAGCAGCGGCAAAAGCGGCAAAAGCGGCAAAAGCGGCAAAAGATGCAGCCGGCACCTTATACGTTAGAGCAATGCTCGCAGCAGATGACGCAAATGCAACAGCAGCAGCAAAAGCAGCAAAAGCAAAAGCAACAAAAGCAGCCAAAAAAGCAGCCAAAAAAGCAGCAAAAGCAGAAGCAGCAGATGCAGCAGAAGCAGCACAAAATTCAGCAGAAAAAGTACTACAACAAGTGACAAATTTTCACAACTCTGTCACTCCAATGGTCATTGCTGATTTGAAAGCAGCCAAAATCGCTCTTGATCCTCAAATAAGCGATGATGAAGACAAACGCGCTGTTGTTGATGCTATTGATGGTTTGTTGACAGTTGCACAAAGCTTCCGTTCACCATAAAAATTGAGGACACCCGACGCATCAGCGCGTTCATCTTAGTCTGTGGGCGTGTGCATATTGACACAAGGACAGCTTGCGGCACTGGCCGAGAGGTGCTTAAGGACACAAAGTTAGAGGGGCCGACCATATCTGACATTTAACATCCAAGAGGTCAATCAAGTGTGAATCAAATCACAGTATCTCTTATGAGTCGTTGACAACATCACAACATTAACACACACAACAACAGAGAGAGAGAGCGCGCACACACGCAGTTGCCTTCGCTGTGTCTCTCTGCTGCGTGTGTGTCAGCGGCTCTGCTCCTCCCTGGCGCGCGCGCGGTGTTGATCGTCTCCGCCTGGAGGAGTACACTTGATTTCCAGCTTTTGCTGGTTTCCGTCGCCTGCTGTTAGGTGTTGGTTGTCGTCTTGGTGTCTTCGTCGTTCTCGTCTGCGCAGCACTTGCTGTCGCCTGCTTTTGTCGCCGGTGAGACCTTTTGGCTCGAGGTTTGGTGCTGCGCGCCGTCTCTCCTCTGGCTTTTGGGCTGCGGCAGATGCTGGCAAGAAAAGAGCGTAGCAGCATCAACAGTCAGCTTCACCGTGAGTCCTGGCAATGGCATCTCGCTTCGCATGCACCAATTCTTATGCGGCACGCCCCCTTATTCTGTGCGCGCGTGCACATGTGCCGTAGGACATCGATCAAATGGACGTGGATCGCCTCACGTCGCGCGCTCGCCGTGCCATCGAGATGGATCGGCAACAGCTCCAGCGTTGGTTTTATTTTTTTGTCGGAATCCCACCCCCTCTTGTCGCCATCACCCTGTCACAGGCGAGAAAACTCATGCCATTGATTGCCCACAACATTTTCCAGAGACCAACCCTCTGCTGGGAGGCAGTGAGCGTGCAGGTGCAACCCCTTCGCGAAATCGCCATGCAGGTGCGGCAGCGCAGAACCCAGGCCAAGCCGTGCTTGGATCCGACCCTTTGTCTCAACAGCTCCAGAACCAGTCTAGCCCTGCTTACTCGAGTGGCACCGCATTTTAGCCGACGCACACGCTGGCCAAAATCCCTTGCTCGGAGGAAGCGAGCGCCAAGCAGCCCCTCCTGTCCAACCAAACGCAGCCCCGGCCGCCAACGCCAGCCCAGCTCGTGCGCATGACCAAGTAAGTTTGGTGCTTTAACAAAGCTACCTCGCACGCCACCTCCCCCTTTTGACCGCGCCATGGTGCCGCTGATCAACTTTGCTGTCCTTGTTGTTGCCTGGGGAAACCTTTGTAGCGTCAGCACTACCGTGCCCAAGAGGAAGCATATCGATCCAAGTGCGTGTCTTGGTCGTTTTTTATTTATTTATTTTTGTATCTGTTTTCTTTGAAAATCCTTGTTTCCTCTGTGGATGGATCATCACATGCACGCCTTTCTCACAAGACCCATGGTTCTTCACTTTTCAGCTTTGAACTTCCCACCGAAGCGCTGGGACGGTAGGCTCTTGCTCTTTTCCCGTCTTACACATTTGCTTACCGACTGGACGCTAAAAGCTTGTCCGCACCATGCATGGCACCTGTGCGATGATCAGCTCGCAGAGCCCGCGTCAAGAGCCCGCTCCCCGCAGCCAGAGCAGCTATGGGCCTCGCTCGTGCGTTTATTCAGCCTGCTGCTCCAAATTTCTCATACGGCCCCGGAGCATCTCTCACTCGCGCGCCCTCGCTTAATCTAATAGCCACGAGTTTAACGAACCCCCGCGCCCTTCTTCTGATCGACACGTGCGTTTTGAGGGCCAAGAGAGCATGCATGATCTTGACTTTGGACTTACCGAACTCGAGCAGCTCTTACAAAGGCAAGTTTTTTTTTTTTTTTTTTTTTTTTTTTTTTTTTTTTTTGCTAACTTCACATGTCGTGGGGTTCGGCCCCATCATACATACCAACCCTCGTGATGGACACCAATCATTAGGCGGCGCCAACAACGACGCCAACCGTCGCGTGATTATTATGAGCCATCACGCCGGGGGGACGAATATCCTCCGCCCTCATCGGGCTATCGTGAGCGCGAGCGCTACGACTACGCCCCTCGCCCCAGCTCACGCGACTATCGCGACTCACGCGACTATCGCGACTCACGTGACTATCGCGATTCCCGAGACCCCCGCGACCGCTTTGATCCACGGGACCGCCGTGACTACCATGAGCCACGCGAAGAGCGTTATGATTCTCGCTCAGCTCGAGATGATAGGCAGAGTCGAGGCGGAGATGAGCGATCCGGTCCAGGTTATCAGTTTGAGCCGGGCCGCCAGCCGTCCCGGGGCGCTGCTCGTCCTGGCACCGTCTCAGGACGCGCAAAGTACGTCTCTTCTGCTCTCCGGCTGCTTTTTTTCTCTTTTCTTCCTTGCTCTGGCCAACTTGAGCCGTGCACCATCTTTAGGTCCCCCGCCCGTGAAGAGCCACAAGCACGCAGCACGCCTCAAGCTGACAGCTACTTTGGTCCCTCTGGTGGCGCTCAAAATGCCCGCTCCAAGAAAGAGGCATACGCTGAAGAACTTCGACAGCAAATGGAGCTGGAAAAGCAGCGCCGCGAGATTGAGAAACACGGAGGCGTTGCGAGCCGTGATCCCTTTCATCCTGAAATGGTGAGTTCCCCCAAGCCATACATCTTGGTACACACGAGGATATGGCTCTGTTAACACACCGTTGTCTTTGCTTGAGCAGAGCAAATTTGTTGATCGCACGGCAGCGGCACCTGAGCAGCCGAGCAACCATCAACCGCGCAACGGCCGCCGCGAGCCCGCGTCCCCAGCTGCATATCGTCCCTCTTCACGGCCCACCTCACGTCAAGGCGGCGAGCGCCCGCCCTCACGCCCCATGTCACGACAAGGCGCACCATCGCGGGGCTACATGGGTGCAGACCCTTATATGCAAGCCCCACCGGGCTACGGTGGCATCGGTCAAGGCTATCCCGCCCCTTACATGCCCATGAACATGCCACCCCCCATGAACCCCATGGGCGGCATGCCGTACATGAACATGTACATGCAAGGCATGCAGGGCATGCCTGGTAATCCCTACTTGGGTGCGCAGCCGTCGGCCATGGCCATGAACGGTGCGCCCCGCGAACATCTCATTTTGCCCCAGCGCCAATGCCAGTGCCTGAAAATTCATCCTCCTTTGTCTGGACGTTGCAGGCATGTATGGAGGCAACGGCATGGGCATGCCTCCAACATCTTTTTCAGGCAATGGTTCAAATCAAGCAGACCCGCGCCAAATGGCTGCTCACATGAATATGGGTGCGCCATCGCGCAAATCCAATCAACCTGATGGTCGTCCCATGTTTTGACTCGGTTGAGCCTCTCATACAAAACTCCTCTCGTTGATGCACAGCTCCTCAAGCGCCAAATTCCATGGCCCCTGCCGCAGCACCAGAGGCCCATGCTCAACACGCAGATAATGTGCACGGTGCCGACCACGGTCAGGCTCACCTCGATTCACCACAACATCGTCGCGGTCCTGGGGAGGGGCGTGCGCCCCAGTCCAAGATGTCCTATGCCGAGGAATTACGGGTACGCCTGCGCAGGCCGTACGCGTGGTCTTGTCCACCGGTCTCTCATGCTTGTCACTGAAACTCAACTTTTGAATGCAGGCTCAGATGCAAGCCAAGCAGGCTCGCGACCAAGCGCGAAAGACGGAGCAAGAAAAATGGGAATTGAAGAAAGAGCAGGAGATTGCGGTAAACTTTTCGCTCCCCTCGCCTCCCCCGATTTAAAAAAAAAAAAAAAAGAAAAGGAAAAGAGAAGGGAAAAGAAAAACGAGAAAAACGTTTTGCCATCTTTTTGTTTCAACTGAATGAATCAGAACGTGGTGACTCATGTGACTGCGCACTAGGAGTACAATCCCTGGGGGCGGGGAGGTGCCGGTGCTCCCGTCAAGAAGAACGGCGTCGTGCAGACCATGCGCGTACGAGCATGTTTCTGGCTGTATCCCTTCGTCTGGCCTTCTCGCCGTTGGTCGCTTTTGCTAACGATTGCGTCGTTTTGCTTCACATGCCGTCAGGGTGGACATGATCGCCCCTCCACGCCAGATGGCGCTCCAGCCCAACATGCAAATGCGGCTGCAGGCGCAGGTGCTCCGAATCAAGGTCAGCAAGCTTCTGAACTCGTCACTCGCCCAGCGCACGGTAATTCTCATTCACAACAAACAATGTGCAGCCTATGCGCCAGGTCCGGGTCAGCCCCAGCAATCGATGCAACAAACCGCACCCCCTCCTGCTGACGGCGTAGCGCCAAGCGGTGCTGGGCCGGCGGGCAACAAGTACGTTGCTTATTCATCCTGGCTTTGTTTCATATTTTTTTTTTTTTTTTTTTGCTGTCTTTCTAGCCAAAGAGAACGGTCGAGTGCTTGGGCGGTTGTAGATCTCGTCTCAATCAGGGTTGTCGTTGCAGGATTACCCAATTGTCGCAGCCAGGTGATGACGAAAAGCGCCGGGCCAAGGAGCAAAATCAGGTGCGTGCCTCTCTGGTGCTTTTTGGCTGCTTCGCTCGTCACCCATGATCCGACGTGCGGTCACATGAGCTCACGACGAACATCAGGCCTTCTTACGGCAACAAATCGAGGAAAAAGAGCGGCGCAAGAGGGAGGAAGAAGCCCGTATCAAATTGGAGGAGCAACGGGAGGCCGAGCGCCTCGAGCGCGATCGCGCCCGGCTTCAGGAACAGTTTGAAGAGGAGCAGCGCAAACTGCGTGAAAAGGAAGAGCAAACTCGTCTGGAGAACGAGAAACAGAAGCAAGGTGCGTGCGAACAGGCATTGGCGCATTTAAATTGCGCCTGACAGGTTTTTAAATGCCGGGTCGAGGATCACCGGGCATTATCTTGTGCTGACCACTTTGTTGATGCATGCTTGTAGCGGCCGAGGAAAAGCGTCGGAAGATGCAGGAAATGCAGCAGCAGCGGGAGGCCGAGGCTGAAGCGGTGGGCTACCGCACGCTGTTGTGTATCGCGCTGGAGGTGGCATGGCTCATTTCTGTTTTCACCGGGGTTTGGAATGAAATCCATATTAACAATGCGCAGAAACGACAACGCGAACAAGAGGAAATGCGCAAGCAACAAGAGGCAGAGATGGCCGCAGAAAAAGGTCAGGCTGAAATTCATGCTCGTGTTTGACGACTCTGTGATCGCATTTGCATGCGCGCGTGCTCACCGTCTCAATGTTTCCCTTACCAACAGCACGCCAGGCGGCCCCATCTGCGTCGCAACGGCCTCGATCGCCGCCCATTCCTACCATGCAGCAAAACAACGCTGCAGCACAGAGGCCCGCCTCACCACCGATTCCGGCCTTGCAAAAGGCGGTTCAACGCCCGGCCTCGCCTCCAATTCCTGCATTGCGGGAGCGCAATAGCCGCCCGGCCTCCAAATCATCCCGGCCTCCCTCGCAGCCACGCGTGAGTCACCACATCGGCACCTCTCTTTTGTTTGTTGCCCGTTTTATTTCGTGCCGCAAATGCGCCACCGGCCAAGCATTCACGCTGCCAACGCCTACGCCAACCGCAGAACATGGCTGCCCAACGACCGCCTCCACGCCCGCCAAGTCAGACCGCATCTGCGCGGGGCGGCAACATGTCGCGTCAGGGGACGCTCAGCTCCAGTTTGACTCAGGTATGGCCTCGGCATTGCTCTGCATTTTGGCGCAAACCTAGTAGGGCCTTTCTGGCATGTGTGTGTGTGTGTGTGTGCGTGTGTGTGTGCGTATGTGTGTGTGCTGAATTGTGGGTGCTCAACTGGTGGGACGTGGTTAGGATACGGCAAACGTTGTGTCAAAGCTGTCTGAGCTGCGTGCCAAGTTGGCTGCGGAACAGCGCAAGGTGGATATAACGGTGAAGCAAAATCAGGAGCATGTGCACAAAATTCAAGAGAGGCAGCGGCAACCCTCAGCTGGGCCAGCGCAGGTACTTTTGAGATCGCCACAATGATGCGCAAGTATTCCAATGCTTCACTAAAGGTGCTGTTGCTCCATGTCTAGGCGCCGGTGGACATGTTTGAGCGTGCGCGCCGCTTGACCCGTTCGCGACAGGCCGCGGGGGAGCGACAGACCAATGGCCTCGGGGCTACGCAGCCCAATGGTGGTGTGTCAAAAATTGCTTTGTCCTGTATGAAGAATGCTTGCCGCTGAGCGCGCATCAGTGGACCGGGGCAGATCTCACGACGTGCCGGGTTTGGCTACCGTGGGTACCGCAGATTCGAAGGCACTGGACGAGTTTAACCGTTTGAAATACGGCAAAGGGGAGGACTCGGCAGCCAATCGTGAACTCAAAAAGGTTCGTGCCTTTAATCTGCTCTATTTTTTTGAATGCATCAAATGTTGTCCAAACGCACGTTCAAAAGCGCCCCGCCTCACATGGGGACTGGATGGGGAGCACAGATGTTTCCGACGCCGCCTTCCGATCAGAGTTCGCTCGACATTCAGCAAAAGGCACTCATTGACCAACAGGTCGGCATTCACGGCATGCATCCAGCGCTCAGAGTGTGGGTTGGTTGTGTGTCACGCTTTGCTAAACGGCATTGGCCTGGCTTGGTGCAGACGCTTGAATTGGATCGCCTCCGGCAAGCACTGAAGGAGTCGGAGCAAAATATCACCGAGGTACGTTGAAAACGTCCTACATGAATTGGTATTGGAAACTTGCACAACTTGGTCTGTGTACTGAAACGAGGTGTCAGACTGACGTCTTTGGGCCTGGTTGTGCAGCCTCTGCCCTTGGCAGATCGTAGCGTCACGACGTCTTCCTTCAATGTGGATGCTGTGGAACAGCACAACCTCGAGCGGTGCGACGCGTGGTGCTTCCCAAGCGAGTGTTGTGTGGCAAGGTTACCTCACATGCACCATGCTTTGAATTAGCCTTCGCAAGTTGACACGAGAGCAGCAAGGGGCGCGTGCGGAGGATCCGGAGGCGTTGATTCAACGGTTCTTGAATCGACAACGGGTGAGTCTGACAAGCAGCGGTCATGTTTCTCCCTCTTGAAGGCGCGATTCGTGCGACCCGCACCGTCTCACGTGGTCTCCTGCATGGGTCGATGCACAGTTGGACGATGACCAGGATCTGGCCTTGAATCTTAATGCCGATGATACGCGTAGTCTGCATGCAGATTCATCCTTTTCGCCCGTCAATTAGTGATAACCCACGGTTCACCGCGTAGCAGTGTTTCCGTCCCACATCCAAATCTAAATGAGCATATCATGATGTGTTTGACAATGGTCAACCCCGAGTCCTCGGGACTCAAAGTGTATGTACAAGGCTATCTTGTTGAAAAAATATGCAAAAGAGCGGCGGTGGGGGGCTCGTGGCGTTAGCGGAGGACATCGAGCATGACACCGAGAAACTCGGGTACGGCAAACATGTCGGCGTGGCCACAGTTGTCTAGCTCGTGGAAGGTGACCCGCGGGCAGCAGTCACGCATGCGCTGGAAGCAAGCTTCATAAGACACGGTGTGGTCTTGCTTGCCCCAAATCACGTGTGCTTTTGCAGCACGATGGCGAGCCAGTGTTTCCTCGAGTTGTTCGTAGAGGGCTTCACAGCCGCCAAATGGAAAAGATTGAAGAGTATCAACCAGAGTGCTGCCAAATTCTGTCAAGCCAGGTAGCCGGCAGGACGAGGAGAGAAGCCAAAAGGTCGATGAGAGCAACGGGGATGACATTGTTATTGGGCAGATTGCATGCCATGGCTAAATACGCACCAGGGCGCGTGTCAAAGAGTTCACCGAGTCGCTCCTGGGCGGCAGCAACGGCCGCTAGGTTGGCCGGGTGCTCTTTCTGTTCAAAGCCTACCAAGGTCGATTGTGGGCGAGCGTCAACAGGAGCGTCAGCAGGCGAGACAAGTGCTGCGGGCCGACTTTAGCCTGAACTTTTTTTTTGGCTCATTCGAGGCGGTCCTTCAGAATGCTATGCTTGTTGAGCGCAGGGGCTGGGCCAGAAGGTGATTGCGGCGAGGGAGGCTGGTGCTCGGTTTTTGGGCGAACCTTCAATGATGTGTGATTGCATACTGCTGCGAGCAGCCAGATGAAAGAGGAGGTTGCCCAAGATTGGGGTCTGAACGATTTGCGCCGTGAGCGGCAGAGGAGAGGGCAGGCCGGCCGGGGCCACCAAAACCAGCTTTTGCAGCATGGTCGGGTGCAGGACGGCAAAGTTGGCAACGATCGGGCCACCCATGGAATAGCCGACAATGGTGAGGTCATGCGTGCTGCGGCCTCGGGTCTGGGGCGCCAAGTGAAAGAGGACATCAGAGATCTGGCTCGAGAAGATCTCGAGTGTGTTATGGTGGTTCTGCAGGTCGAGGGCAGCTGAGGCGCCACGACCGTACAGGTCGATGCTCACGGCGCCAGCGCCCGGCTGATCTGCCAGCAGCGTCTGCAAGATCTCATCGTAGATGGCTGCTTCCGTGGAAAAACCATGCACGCAGACATAAAAGGGTGCCGCCTCACGCAGGGTCGCGCCGCCATACAGCCAACAGGCCACCTAAACGGCAAAGCCGATCGATGATGAGATATGCGCGCATATGCATCGATCCATGCAAGCACATGCCATACCTCTCCAAAGCTGCACGGTAGGCGCAGCTCCACCCGTGCTTTTGCTGCTGTACTCATATCCCCGTTGCCAGTTAAGACAGTCGCCAACGCAATCGCTCAGCCCGCTGCCGTCCACTGATCTGTGTGCAAAATTCATGAGAGACAGAGAGAGAGAGAGAGAGAGAGAGAGAGAGAGAGAGAGAGAGAGAGAGAAAGTTGAGAAGAGAGAAGTAAAGAGCAAAGACACAAAGGAAAAGCACAACTACCACAGAGAGAAAGTTTGTGAGAGAGAGAGAGAGAGAGAGAGAGAGAGAGAGAGATTCGAGAGAAAGACTACAATGACTTACACAGTCTTTCTGTCTGCTCTGCGCGCGCTCTCTCTCTTTCTGGCTCTCTCTCTCTGGTTCTCTGGTTCTCTGGCTCTCTGTGTCTGGTCGCCTCTCTTCTCTCTTTCATCCAGTTCAACGATCAACTCCATCCGTCTCTGTCTTCGTAAACCTTAGGGGCATATGGAAACCTGGCCGTATTAGTTTCTTACGTCACGATGGACGAGCCGGACATGCGACGTGCGGTTGTGTGTGTGTGTGTGCGCGCGTGCATGTGTGTGTGGTTGATACAATATCGTAAATTCCGTCGGTGCGGTGCTATGGGAGGCGGGTCGGGGGTGTGAGCACGAGGTGGCGGATGCCGTGGGCCGGCACAGAGAGGGATAAGCTGGTATTGAAGATGCCCAGAGCACGATGCTGGAGAATGTCTCGGACAGCGTAGGGAGTGTTAGGGGACATGCCGGCCGCCGTAAAGTCGAGAGTGATTTGATCATCGACGGGGCTGCGGTTGAAGAGGATGGCCGTGTGGCGGTCCTCGCTGAGCGGACCTGCATACACTTCCAGCGTTTCTGCCAGCGTGAGGCACTGCTCCCCCAGCTGGTTTTGGATGGTGCCGTCCCCACTCACTAGCATTTGTTGGCGTCGATGGTCGGTCGACCAGCCACACTTGTCCACCTCCACATGACTGCCCTACACTCGGATGCAACGCCGCCCGCCACCGGTTAAAACCAACGGGTGCAACCCAGTCAAGCTATCATATTGCATGCACCGTTCACACCTCTGCGTCCAGACAGCACGTGGCAAGGCCCGAGACAGTTGTTCCTGAGCTCGGCCAGCAGGAAGTGCCAGCCCCCATTGACTGAATGGTCTGATTCTCAGCATGAATCTATGATCAAAATCGTGAGACGAAAGCGCACTGCCGGGGAAGAATCCGGACGAACCCCCCCCCTCCCCTCAAGCACAAGCTCATAAGAATGTGTCCTCCAAACGTGCCTGCCATTGCTGAGCCGTGTAGGCGTTGCAACTGTCAGCGTGTGTAGTCTGTGAGGACTCATCGACGCAGTTTTCCACGGTGACCCACCAAGGCCAGGTGGTGGCACATGCATAGAGTGAAAGGCAACGACCATCTCCAGATCGAATCTGCACAGGAAGACGACTGAGATGAGATTGCAACAAAAAGGGGGTAACGCTGCACCACTGCGCCATCGAGCATTTGTGGTCCATTTCTGGACAAATTGCCAACAGACCTGCGTGCCATTGATGGACCACATTTGAAGTTGGCGTACAGGGTCATCCGATCGATGCGCACACGGCGCCAGATAGACCTGATGGATCCCGTCAAAGCCAGTGAGCCACAAGCCCAGGCCAATGCCCAACGAAAAAGTGTTCAAAGAGCCTCAGCCTAGGGACAGATGCACTGTGATGCCTCACTTTTGTGGCCGAGGAAAAAGATCGGCCCGGTGCGAGCGCCACACGGCGCACACTCTGACCCAGGTCATCTGTGTCCGGTTCCAGGCGTGAAGCACGTGTGATGATTCATGACTTTGCTTTGCAGCAGAGAGCTCTCTGCGTGTGCCAAGGCAACCCACCTTGATTGACGGCAATGACCTCGGTATTGTTGAGAATGGCCAAAACCTGAGCAATGCGAAAGCATATGAGGCCCGCATCGTTGAGCGTTGAAAATCAAATGGCCCGGCATACCTCTGGGGCCATGGTGCGGACGTCATTGCCAAGTTGCAAGGGCGACTTGAAAGCAGCCCATAGCGAGAAGTGGGCCTGCCACTCGGTAATGTTCATGGCAGCTTGGCCGTGCCCATCGTTTCCATTGCCCACCTCCAGCATGTCGAGATCCTGGAAGAAGCCACTTTCGGGTCCCGTCACGTCCATGTAGCGTTGGTCGTTGGCCGTATCCAGCACGCGCGTCATGTCTTCCCACGTGTTCTTGAGGTCTTTGGCCACGCGGCGAAATTGCGACTGGTAGCATACAAAGTTACACCCACTGAAGTGAGGAGCAGGAGGCAAACTCGTCGTGTCATGCCAGGGCAATACCCCGACTCGCCTGGGCAGACTCACCACATTGACGGCTTGCTGAGGGGTGAGATCAGGGGCCTTGACGTTGTGCAATATGGGTCGGGGCACTGCAGACAGTGCTTGCTCCATGGCGCCGTAATCATGAGCGGCATCTGCATAGACGACGCGACAGTCGTCGTTCTTGAGCCAGTCGGCACCGTACGCAGCAAAAGTGGCGGCATCCAGCGGCTCGTGGCCCAGACTACCCGGCATCTTGCCCCCACAAGTCAAGTTGCTCCGTGCCGTGTCTACATATCAAAAGCAGGGCCAAAGATGACGACGTCAAAGCCGGCACCAGTGGAGAGCAGGTGCGACACCGTGGGCTAGCCTCTCACACAAGCCGTAGAGAAAGCCGTTGGCATGGATGGCATCACCGAGCGCTTTCATTCCGGCGGGGAACTTGACAGGATCGCCGACAATGCAACCAGAAGCGTTGCGGTTCTGGGCACCCCACCCATCGTCCAAAGCAATCAGCGTATAGCCCTGAGCGGTAGCACCCGGGCATGAGAACAGCGCCTGAGGCCGCGGGGTCAGCCATTGGGGCCCAAACGCACGGCATCCCGCAGTCCCGAATCGATGAGAGCTTGCATGATGGCCTCGATCAGCTTAGCATCAATGTTCTGGCCGTAGGCGTTCCAGGTGCTGTACGTGCGAGCGCGGTGTGTGGTGTGTGATATGTGCGCGTGTGTGGTGTGAGGCGTGCTCGAGTCAGCTTTTCATTGAGCGAGTGAGAACGATTGGCTTGCGACGTACGAAAGGCCCAAAACGGGGCGCCGAGGGCGCTGGACATGGGCCTGAACCCCCCGAGGGACCCCATTCCCCAGCATCTGTATAAGAACCACCACCGCCAGGCCCATGGAAGCGCACCATCGGGTGCGTCGCCGCTCTGTCCAGGCCATGATCGAGCTCGGCTCGACCCGTTTCTACAATAAATGACCATATCGATGCATTAACTTGTTGAGGAGACATTATGAGATATGCAATTAGTGTAGTTATCACTGCAAATAACACGACTTCAACTGGTGGAATAAAACATCAACAAACGCACTTGGGAATTGTCAGCACAGAGTCAACCTTTTGCACAAACGCGTATTATTTACAGCATATTTTATGCCTTTTAACAAATAGAAAAATAAACATAAAATGTAATCATCACTACCTTCGTCTGCATTGAAAATGCGGACAATTTTGGGGTGAGGACTTTCAAAATTTTGCATGTTGGAAAAATGGACGGGTGGAAAAGTTTTGTATAGGTGGAGGCTGGTTTTTCATGTTTCAGAAACATTCAATCTTTTCAAAATGAATGAGACTAACCCTATTTTTTCAGCTATATCAATAGGCCCACAGTTTCACTGTTGCAAGACCCAGGCCCAGGTGATTGTTTGTGATGACAAGCACCCAGCAGAGACGAAGCAGGACCGCCAAACTCCCCACGACGGGAAATCAAGCCAAACCCAGAGATACAGCCAAACCTCGTTGAATGAATGGAATCAACCCCACAAAGCAAGACACGAGGTCAGATGTTACCGTGTGTGTATATGTGTGTGTGTGTTTGGCGCGTTTGGTGCTACTACAAGACGAGAGGATGCACGTGGTGATGCCCTGTGTGAACAAGCAAAAAAGGGCAGCGCCGTGCGCTGAGCGTTGAATGTGTGAGGGAAGGAGAAGACGGGGGAGAGACACACGAGGCTTATGGGCTTGGGATCAAATGGCGGCGGGCGATGCCAAATTTAATACTTTGACGGCGTACGGGCGACCAATCGCCCCCCTTAAGGCCTTAAGGCAGTATGTTCAAGTTGAAACCTACCCTTCTCGTTGAGAAGGACATGCGCTCTCTAAGGGCAGGGTGTGTCCCTTTGCGAAACGTCAGGTGTATGCACCGTCCATCAACAGCGTGAATGATGATCCCTTTGGAAGGATCAGAGACAGATGCGTGTAATGAGGGCCTGTGTGCGCCCATGCGTGTCAGCGGTACCGGCAGCACTGCATCAGCGACCGCCATATGACTCGACGGCAGCAAATCTCTTCACATATGGTGTTGTTGTTTTTTTCAAAGGACTCTACTCAGATTTCCGGTTTTTCACCTTTTGATACTTTTCAACCGTTTTCCCTTTTTTTTCCCCTTTCCTTACTGATTTACCTTTGTTTGAATCCTCTTTGTTTCATCCCAACACACACACGCGCACACACGCACATGTTTGCTCCTACAATGAAATGAAACCACCGTTGCTTGGTGTGAAAAGCCAAAAGTGGATAAGCTTAAGGTTAAGGAATTTATTTCCACCCGTCTCCCCCCCTCCTCTCTCTTCCCATAAGGCATAAGGTAGCACAAGGTATGTGAGGCATAAGCAGAATAAAGGGGGAAAAAAAAGCCGTTTGGTGCGGTTTGGAATGAGTGTGTGTGTTTGCGCGTGTGTGGGGGTCAGTAACTGCATTTCGAAGGTGAGCCTCGGACCAACGTGGACCAGGTGCGGAGGATATGCTGCCTGCTGCCTGCTGCCTGCTGCCTGCTGCCTGCTGCCTTGTCAAGAAGAGGGTGCTTCCCTGCCGTTCTGGCTGCTCTCCGTGCCTTCCATATCAAATGATCGTTCGGGGAGGTTATTGGTTGCCTGGTTGTTCGGCTGGATCTGGCGGCAGTCTGGTTGTTTCCATGAACGTTTGAGTGCGGGTGATCTGCCATTTTGATCGTGTGCCTCGAGTCCTTGCTCAACGTTATTCTCCCTTCGTTCGTGCGCTTTGTTCACAACACCGTCTCGGCTTTTTGAGCGGGAGCGTGCGGCCTAGAATCGCAGCGCATGCCTTTTCATTTTGTTGTTGGGTTTGATTTATCAAGATGCAATCGCTCAATCTGTTATCGTTGTCGGTACAATTGCTTTGCGGTGTCAAAGACCTTTCTGAATCATGCATGATATGATGTTTTGTAAGCTGGGCGAGCATCTTCTTTCATCCACAGGAAAGACTCAACCGTGCGTGTGTGTGCGTGTGTGTGTGTGTGTCACATTGTGTCGACTCAGCTTCTAGTTGCCTTGATCCTCTTGACCAAAAGACCCGATGAGCCAACTCATTTCAATAATCTTTGTTGTCGCTTTCCGTGTCATGGCAGAGTCCGGAGATCTTTCCTTTGCCTCCCATCAAAATGCTTCTCCGTACTGTTCTGGTTTTGGGCTTCCTCGCCACACTGGCGACAGCCCGTGATTCCTGCTCATCGGAGAGCTGCACTGGCAACGAGTTGCTTGGCAAGCCCTATTCCCGCCGCCGCGCTTGTGTTGAAGAGCAGCTGGAGGACTTTGTTATGGACGCCATTCCCGTTACAGAGACCTTTGATGACTATGGCATGAGCAAGACCTGCGACATTGCTCAGATCCCTATGCGCAACAAACCCCTGATCATGGAGTCGAATGACAAAATCATTGTGGCTGGTGCTGACGCCACCCTGATCCTGGATGCCAATGAGCCCGGCTACTATTCGTTCCGTCGTGACGGCTCTGCTGGCATGTCTTCTGACTCGCTTGTTAGCATTCTGCCTTATATGGTGTTGGACGATTCTTGCTGCTCTGAGTGGAAATTTGTGCCTGACACCAACAACACCGACTTCATCACGCTTGTTTGGGCCCGCATGTGCGACTATCAGGATGTGGATGTGCCCATCTTAACACAGGTTTCGATTCACTTCTTGGGTCAACTCTTTGTCGTTGAAGTGTCTGCTCCTTTCATGTCCACTTATGCTACTCTCTTCCACCCTGAGGAACCTGAGGCTGCCACCTACTCTCCTGTGCCCCGTGCGTACGAGTACACACCTCCTAATATCTCTGCCACTTTCTACAGCGCAAATGATACAGATAGCTATGCCCCTGTTCCTCCACATTCTTTCGTGGTCGGCTGGGAGCATGGCTATGGCACCAATGCCCATGTGGCCATCATCGGCAGCCCTTACCAAGCCAACATGGACTCTGTTGTCACCTATGTCCAGCCTCAGGATGAGCGCCGCGGATTTGCCGGCCCTCCTCCAGGTTCCATTGTCGCGTTCACGGGTGGCGCAAAAGAGCTGTCTTACATCGTGTGGCCTTTCCATGGCCCGGCAGCCGCCTTCCAGCGTACGCTCGACTTTGCCGACAAGAGCTATTTTGACAGCCTGAAGGACAGCTGCCCCATCCTTTACAACCTTCTCAAGGACAACTGGATTGTTGAGCACGAACAGTGCAACCTTGCTTAAGCTATGGTCACGTTCGAAAACAAACTACCATTTCAACCCAGGGCGGTTCTGCGTCACATCATTCGTTCTGCCTGAGCGTAGCTATTCTGCCTTGATCGGTTTTTCTTTTTATTCTTTTTTTTTTTAATTTTCTCTTCCCCGTGTATCGTGGTTCTCTCTGTATTCACTCTTCTTCGGCGAAGGGAATGTCCTGAACTTTCAAGAAAATTTAATTTTTGCTTTGCAACAGCACGCTGTTATCCCTTCGTTCAACCCTCGCATCTCCCTTGAAGAAAAACTAAAGAGAGCTGCAGTTTTGTACATCGACTCACACAGCACCTCTGAGCGACGCCTTTCTAGCTACTCGATGAAGAAAGATAACCAGCGCCCAAGCGAGTCTGAACCTCAAGAATTTGTTGAAGTATTCGGGCTTCACAAAGACCCAGATCTTGAAAGTCAGTTTGAGTCATGTGCAAAAAGGTATAAGTGTCAATCTCCTCCTGCTCCAAAATACAGGCGCTTTCATGGAGACCCATCGCATGCAAATCTTGCACATGGTCAGCGCTACCCACACTGCGCAAGGATACCGCCTGTGCAAAGCTGGTTGAACCGGTGTGTGCGGCCTGATTGGCGTTCGTGTTGTACGGCATGCTAGCAGACAGACTTGTGGAATCACCACCATGGCCCTCAGGTCGCGACTCTTTTTCAAGGCCAGCTCGAACCTGTTGATTCAGATTCTTCCAACCTATTCCCATAGCAGTTCAAAGCAGCAGACACAGAAAGTTGAGGCTGCTATATTGAGCGATCTTTGAGAGGGATTGAGCAATACGGGATCACAAGGATCTAGCAAAAAACTAAGAGGGGTACTTGTAAGCACATGCGCGCATTCAACATACGATACAAAGCCGAATCGTGTCCCGGCTTGGGCATGACAGGTGGTGCACGCATTGCCAACTTTGGCACGGGCTGAAAAACAGGCTTGCGCGCGACTGGCAATTTTGGCGTTTTCAGAGGAAAAGGAGTGGAGCGTGCGCTTGAAGCCGAGCCTAGTCTTGCTCGCCCCCCCTCGTCCGGGCCCCGTGAACGCGAGTGACTGTCATTCTGCGGAGCAAGGAGCTGCTGGCGAGCGTGGTCCAGTTCGCCACTCGTGGGACGCGACGAGCCACCTTCTGCGTCAAAGGTCTCAAGCTCCATGTCCACAATGGCACCACGTGAGTGAACCCGTGAGCCGTGGTTTGAACCAGGGTTCGACGCTGGGGGAGAGTCGAGCGAGGAAGAGGCATCCGAGGCCGTCGAGTCATGCGAGGCCAACAGCTGGGGCTCTTTGTGTAACATGGATTTGAGGCTGAATCGGCGGCGACGGGCGTTCTTGGAGGGTTGGCGCGTAAGCGGAGGTCCTCCATCCGGCAGCGGGCTGTCAGGCGGCGCCACTGGCGCAGGGGGTGGAGGTTGTGGTGAGGGCCCTGTTGTGGCTGTGTTCGGGCTTGGTGTGACGGGCGAGGACCGAGCGCTTGTAAAAACAAGCGTAGGGCGAGTCCCATTTCTGTTACCGCACAATGAAGCAGCCGCAAAAACAACAACAACAACAACAACAACAACAACAACAACAACAACAACAACAACAACAACAAATCGTGAGACTTTGAGTTCAGCAATATTGCAACGGCTCAAGGTGCTCACGAACCACCGGCAGTGGGTTTGATTCGGGCAAGTTTTGCGCACTTTGAAGTAAGAGAGTGGCGCCGTGCATAGCGGCGAACGCTGCTATTCATGACCACAAGCGCCGCGGGTTGACTTGTCACCTCGAGGTGTTGCGGTGACTTGGATGAGGTGGCGGAGCGGGGTGGGGGTGGAGTCGCTACCAGCCTCTCGCCCTCGGGTGGAATCGACAATGAATTCTAAAGACGCGGATCAGGCATCGCGCTCAATCAGCTGTCATGATCAGGATTGCCAGGCCGTCTTGCAATGCAATATGTGCACTAGAGAGTCAACAGAAGATCACAAAAAGGTTTGCTCAAGTCGCTTGGCACCACATACCCGTCGCGAGGCAGGGCGAGCTTGAATGGACGGAGCAGACCTGTCCAGATTCAAGCCGGCATGAGCAAAGGACGAGACAGCTCGCCAAGAGACAGCTCGCCAACATTCACAGCACGATCCTCTTGGGATTGATCAACATCAGATACCTGGATTGACGGCTCAGGCGCCGCGCACGCCGCGAAAAGCCCATGACGCGTAGCAAGGTCTCGTGGTGTGGCAGATCAAACGTTGGGGATCTGTGAACGAGCATGCAGGTACATGGGGCAAGGGTTGATTTGAACGGGAAGAGGTCCTCAAGAAGGGCTGGAAAGGGGCAAAACTTTGACGCTGTCTATAGGTCCGACGTACTCAGGACGATGGGCGAGACTCATGCGCTTGATGAGGTGATCAACCACCGCAGCCCGACCATAAGCCGTTGCAAAAGCCAGGGCGGTCCATTCGGTGGTATGCCAAAGGGCAGTGGCTAAAACATTGGCTTGCACATCATCGACTAGAAAGCGGACGACCTTCAAATGGCCGTACCAGCTAGCCAACATCAGCGGGGTCAGGCCATCCCGAGCCCGAGGTTGGTCAAGGGACACGCCAGCTGCATGGAGCACCTGGAGGAGGACATTCGGATATCCACGGAAGCCCGGGTATGAGGCTGTTCCCAAGCGATGCACCATGGCTGGCGCGCGTCGTGTGGCCAACTGAAGAAAGTGACCAAGGGCGATACCTTGAGCCGATCGAGATTGTCAGCAGAAGCTGCGCTGTGTGGATCGCAGGTGCATTTGCCGCGTCGAGCACCGCAGCCCAAACATGATTTGTGACCATCTAAGCCACAAGATCGGGAGCGGAGTGGCAGTAAAATGAAGGAACCAGGCTCCGTGAGCTCGAGAGGAGCATGGTGATGGATCACATATGGTTTGTGGTTTTCGTGCGATGCGGACCTTTGCAGAGGAGTTTACTCATATCAGGATTGGCCAGAAGGGCATGGCGACTAGGCTGCCAACCAAAATTTGTGGTTGTGGCTCGTCGAGCCCCAGCTCGTAGAAGGGCCTCGGCCACTTGCTGGTGTCCACGCAATGCTGCAAAGTGCAAAGACGCAAAGCCTGCAAAGCTTTGCACGTTTGGACTGGCGCCGGCAGCGAGTAGCTGCTGCACCACTGAGGGTACAGAGCAACGCAAGGGTTACCGTGGGCTATGAGTTGGTATTCTTGCCCTTGGAAAATCAGACATACCCCCCCGATCTGTGCACGACGTAAGGGTCTCAACCCGCCGACATACCAGTAAGGTTGCCAGCCGCAGCAGCCATGTGCAATGGCGTGAGGCCATGCGCAGAGAGCTGAGCGCCAACATAGCATAAGCGGGGGCAGCTGAATGAGATGTTCTAGCAAAGCATTGGCCAAGTGCTTGACCAAAGGATTCAATGAAGTCAAGGCGTAGATACAAACCATTTCCAACGGGGCACTGCATGCCAGGAGATGGCCCACAAGGCATTCGTGCCCTGCGTGGGCTGCGCGGTGTAGCAGAGTTTGCCTTGGAAGGATCAGTTTTGCTGGTGAGCCCACCACATAGAGCAATGCACTAGGCAACGGCAGTCATATGCAATAGCACCTTACCCATGTGAATCAACCACAGAAGGGCTGGTGAGCTGTTTCGTCAGCTCAATCGCTTCCTGGTTCCGGAGGGAGCCATCAAGCACACGCGGAGAGCGTTTGATCGTGAGACGGAGAGAGGGCAGGGCCAATGTGCACAGGGGCGAGCGAGCTTACCGGACCATCCCCAGCAGCCAGGATCGCATCCATGATTCGCGTAACCTTCTGTAGTGTGACGCGATTGTCGTCTCCTACAGCAGTGCCCTCAAGGCTGTCCCGGCTAGGCGCCCGCAGCCGGGCACCGGGACTGGTCGCTGCCATCGTGCAAAGGCTGTTGTTGTCGTCGAGAAATGCCAACGGATTTGTTGTGTCATTTCCGAGATGTAAATTTTAATTTAGAGACCCTTTTTGTTTCGGAGGGGGTCGGCGCGTATATGTGGCGTCTTGTACTGCCAGGTCTGTAGCCCTCAAAATCGTTGTTGTTGTTGTTGTCGTCGTCGTCGTCGTTGTTGTTGTTGTTGTTGTGATGGTGGTGGTGTTGGTAGTGGTGGTGCGTTGAAGGAAACGTCTTTCATCGACATGAACTTTTCTCGGATGGCGATGGTGGAGAAAGCGAGAAAAGAAAAATCAAATTTGCACACGGTGCCTGAAGACTAAGGTAGGTGCGAAGGGTCAGGCGTGCCTGACGGCCTCACGGAGAAAAGCGAGACACGGGATCAGTGTTTCAAACAGCATGCAATATGGCAGCTAGTCCACCTTTTCCGCCTCCCGCACAGCCGAAGAGGACGCGGGCTGCGCCGCCTACATGTGCACAAAGGGTATGAGCCGCCACGAGGTATGCCTTGCAATGTGGTTTAGGACGGTGTGCTTGTGAGGTGCGCGCGCGGGAGGCAAAGACATACCACAGATAGCGACACCGTCTCTAGGGCACTGATACAAGTATTGAGTAAGGTCATAAAAGGAAGGGCATTCCAGAAGTGGATGGGGCAGCGCGTCGTAATCAATAGATGTCCGTAGGCCCCCCCTGACATGGGGCCATCGTCTAAAGAAAGCAGCAGACGTCAACGGATAGAAAGCACGGGATTAGGACTTGGGAGATGCTGTCACAGGCGTTGCCTAGTTTGGGAGCAGGACGTACAGAGAGCGACGCGGCAGGCTACAGCCTGAAGGGGAATGGTCAAGAGCTCGCAGAGGTTGGAGGCTGACCACGACCACGCAAAATGCTTCAGCAGGAAGGGGGTCAAGCTACAAACGGTGAAAGGGCAAAATCAGCGCATGGAGGACGACGAAGCAAAGGCTGAGATGCGGGGCTACGCACGCGCGAAAGAAACACAAAAGGAGCAGGACAAAAACAAAACAAAACAAAACAAGCAAGCGAGTGAGGGCGCTTTGGTACCTCGTTGGTTCTGAGTTTCCATCAACAGGCGGCGGGGAGGGTTTGCATGTCTCCATGCCAAAGCGCACAACAGAGAGAGCCAGGCAACGCATTGCGGTAAATTGGACTCCATAGAAAAGTCCCAAAATGCCGCGTTCTGCCACAATCTGGAAATCGAACCCGGGGGGATGAGCGAATGAGAGACGCGGTTCTGATGGATGTGTATGAGCGAACGTTCCTTCCGTAAATCATGAAGAAATCGGAACATGCGCGAAAAACATGGTCATCAGGGTGGGGGTGGCTTACGCTACGGTAGGCGGCAAACAGGGAGCTGGCAGAGCCAGCCGTGACTATCACGAAAGGCAGCAGAAAGGACTCGTGAGGCCGACTAAAAGCCAACGAGTTGCACCACAAGGAGCCGAGCACGTGGGTTGTTGGGAAAGTGCCTGGTGGATTGACATACATTTTTGGCAGACCATGCGGGTTTGAAGCATGAAAATGGGGTGCACGGCCATGTAGGCAATGCTGCCGGCCACGGTACCAATCACAATCTTGCGGAGCACGCGATGCAATTTGCCATGTCTGGTAGTGGGCGTATGGGAATGGGAAACGGGGGTTGTAGCGTGAGCAAAGGGCTCGCGCGAGTCTGACTTCTGAGGGTCGGTGCTCGTGGTGGTAGACACAAGCTCTGTTGTCGTACCGGTTTGGTTCAAAAGGGCCAATGATCATGTCCATGAGGTTCGAGGTCTTGTGTGACAGCCAGGGCATGACGAGCTGAAGGATGAGATCACGTGTACAGCCAACCAGAGCGCCGTGCCACATGCTGGTCCATCTGAAAAGAGAATGCGAAGGACAAACGCCACAAAGGTCATTGATTCGAGATCAACATGACCAGGAACCATGAAGAACTTGAGCCAGCGTCGGCCTGTGAGGCCCCGTCAAGGGACTGCGCGGGGTTCTTACCCGCCGGCATAAAAGCGGGCCACATGGATAATGTTTCCCAAGGAGTTGAGGGGGCGAGGGTCCTTGGGCAAGTCCGGGCTCGCGTCCAACAAGGTGACGGTATTCTCAATCGGGGACACGAAAATCAGCTGTCCACAACCGGCGAGAACTTGCGTGAGGGATGTGTACTGAGACGACAACCGTTGGGCTTTGCCACATCACCTCTTGCAGGTGCGCAGAGGCAAATTATCTTACACGTGGCAGTTCCTTGATCGCAGCCCAGACGATGCCGCGAACGGCCAGTGCACCTGAACGGGCAACATTCAACTTGATGAGCGCAAATGAGAGCGGAAAAGTACACAAGCCAAGGTGAAGTGGACGTACCGAGGGATTCAAAAGTCACCTCACTGGGCATGGCGCCCATGCGATCAAAGGCTCCCGCAGGGCCCACTGGCGGCGACGCCATTCCCGTCGGCAAGTCCATTGCAACCTTCTGCAACAGCACACACACACACACACATGATGTGTCAGTCAGCCACCTCTTCGGCATGGCGGTCTTTTGACAGAAAAAAGAAAAGGACGACCCGCCATGGATAGGCCATTCCTACACCCGAACCTCCCTCTCCCTCTCATCCTCTCTGCACCGCCGCCTTCCCATGCACACCGCCGCCGCCACCTGCGTCGCCGCCACCTGCGTCGCCGCGTGATCGAACCACTCTTCAACTCACAGAAATGTAGAGAATGTAAAATACTTTGTCACTCACACAACAAATTGTTGCAGAGAGAGAACAGTCGAGAACATTTGTTGTGACCATTTCGCGTAGTATTACGTAATCGGCCATCGGTTCTGCCTGAGATCTTTGCTCGTATGAACTGGCTGTCGAGCCCCTCTGCCATTGGCGAGGTCGGCATGGCTCTGGGTAATGGCCACAAAACCGAGCAGGATGCACCAAACGTGAGAGTCAAGATTTGGAATGTGATGGCTCACCATTGCGACGACCACCACGATCATACGAGCCGCTAGGGTTGCTGTCTTTCACAACGGCAGGACAGACGCGAACGTATAGATTCCCGCCAACGTTGGTGATGTTCCTGTCAGCTCGTCATTGTCCTGCAGCAGAAGACTCATGACGCGCCGGGCAGATCGTGAGACGCGACCTCCGACCGCAACCGACGCGAACAATACAGGCCGCTACGCTTGTTCTCTTCCACGACGGCAGACATACGGCAATGCAGAGATCCCCGCCAACGCTGGTGATGCTACCGAGACCGTCAAAATTGACCCCTCGATGTTTTACGTGTTGGACTTGAAGAGACTATCGCCTGCGGTGTCGCTTCGTTGAAGGATGATTAACATTAGAATATTGTTTAGACGAGTGAATTTGGCGAAGGCATCCAAGGCACCTGTGTGCCACATGAGAGGAGAGCTGAAAAACGACCACTAAAGAAAATCTATCTAATTGACACAATCAATCTACGTGCATTTGTTTCTACACACTGAGCCTAAACCACTCCATAACCTACGAGCAAGCCGCCTGTTGGAACAAATCACCCCACCCGGTTCCAACAAAGGCGACCAAACAGAGACCGTGAGGACGAGCCCACAACAGCAGCACAGACAACCCCATGAACGACGTACCTTCAGTGGCAACGTAAAAGCGGTGGTCTTCCTCGGCCACCGCAAGTGCTTGTATGCCGCAGATGCCTGTGTCTGGAACCGAGAAGTCTTGCATGACGTGACGTCCAGATACGCTCCAAAGCTCGTTCAGGTCATGGGCTCTGAGAATGGTGACACCGGCATCAGCGTTGCCCACTAACAGCCCACAGTCATTGGCCAGGTTGCGGTAGTTGATATAGGCCAATGCCGTTACTTTGCTTGGGCTCTTCCAGCTTGTGACTGATTCGCCGTTGATTGTCACAATTTCGACAGCTGCCGCCGGAGATGTTCCACCCTGCGCGCGCGCGCGACCCACAGCAATATCCCCGGTGATGGCTGAGACCGCAAGGGCTGTGATCGTTTCATCTGGAGCCGTCAAGAGCACATGAAGTAGACTGAGTTGATGCAGATCCCAGATGAAGACCCGTCCGTCCTCGTCAGCGGTCACCACAACGCCAAATGACGTGCACATGGCAATGTGCACCATGGGTGCGCCTCGACCGTACAGAGATCCCATGTGCGCGAGTGAGACTTGGTTGTTTGCCACATGGAGTTGAAGCACGTGAACCACACCGGAAGCGCCGGCTAACGCGGCAAAGGCTCCACTGCTTGCCAGTGCACGCCCGCCATGATCATACCATGGTAAATTGCAGCCGGTTGGGTGGCCTCGTGCGTCCAACACGTGCAGGTTGCCATCCCAGCAGTCGGCATCCAATTGGAAAATTTGGCCATCCCGAAGTAAGGGGCAACGCAGGCGGCGATACACCTTAATCACGCGCCCGGGCAAGAAAGCGAGGTGATGTACATCTTTGTTGACGGTCCGACGCAAAATTTCACCAATGACCTTGCGTCCACCAACGTGTGTCAGGTTCACGGGCCAATTGCACGCACTGGCCAACCGGCGAGGATGTGCGTTTTGAAAGAGCTGGATGGGTGTTTGTCCAAAGTGCTTGGCTGAATCGAGTACTCTTTTCCGAAGGCTTGGGCTCTGCTCCTTCTCGAGGTCGACGACGCCCTCGTAGCTTGCGGCCACGAAAACATTGCTTGCTTCCACTGCTGCTGGCCCGCGCTGCTTGGTGCCAAAGATCAGGTCGATCCACTCATGAAGATGAGCCGACACGTAAGGTGACTCAAGGGCCCGCATTTGCAAGTAAACAAAAGTACGTGGTGAACCACCGGCCCAGGGCGGGAGACAGACATCTTCCAACACTTGGCCATCCTGTCGACGACCCAACTCGTAATGGTTGATATTGCGCAAAAATTCCGGCAAGGTAAAAAACTCAGGGATGAGCTCCTTGACGTCCGAAGAGGAGCGCTGCGTGCAATAAAAGGGTCGATGGGAGTAAAAAAAAAAGGTGCAGAGGAAGAAACAAAGAAAGGACATGAGCAAATTTTCAAGCTTAGAAAAAAAAAGTCACACAACCTCAAAGTCAAGAAGCTTTACATGGCAATCGTTTCTTTACTACTGTCCATGCCTTGAGACCAGCGTGCCGACGGGACATTTCGCAACAATGACAGGGTAAAAGGCTTTACCTCGGAGCAAGATAGCCAAGTATCGGCCATGTCATGGAACATGCGGTCAGGGATATCCAGTTTGCCACCTTGCAACTCGACAGCCAATTGCGTGAAAGGTTCCAACCTGAGCAAACACCAGTAATTTCCACATGCTGACATGAAAAAACACCTTGCCACGCGCAAAAACACCACATGACCCCCAAACTTGAAATACTTTAATAACAAGGAGTCCAAGGCAAGAATTTGAAGAGCAAGCACCACCTCATTGCGATCGCTTACCGTGACATGTAGAACAACACAGCGGCGGCCGACGAGTAATGTGTGCCGTACATGAACGGCATGGTGTTGATATCAGGTTCTTCACCCCGAAGATGTGCCATCTCCAGTTCCATCTCCCAATTTTCCTTCAGGTCTGCGTAGCGCCGCAAAATCGACTCCAAGCGTTGCTCGCCCAGGGCACCCATGGGTTTGCTCAAGTCACGAAATACCTCCTCATTCTGCAGATCGAGCCGCGCCGACGTGTAGTCTCTTAAAACGTGTGGCATTACAGGGTACTGTGTCAGGTCGTTAAAAGTACGGCCGGCCAAGGTGTTGAGGTGCATGAGGTACTCAAAGTTTGAGATGTCTCCACGTATCCATTGCTGTGTGATGGCCGATCGTGGCTGACGATCGTTGCCCGAGACCCGGAACACGGATAGTTTGGGCGTGGCATCTGCGTCCTCTGATCCGTTGATTTCCATGACTGTCAGCATGCACAGCGATGGCAGCTTCTGTTGCATAAGGCAGGTATGCGCTTCGCGGCAAAGCTGCGACGACCCAAAAGCCAGCATCAGAGTAACGCCCGAATCAAAGAAAATCTCCAATCCGACATGCTGAAGCAGGTAGCGCCGTCGTAGCACCTGCGTGATGCCTGCGTAGGGCCAGCAGGGCAGCTGATTGGGGTCGTGGGAAAGCGCAGCTAGTTCTTTGACTGAGCGCAATTGGGTGAGGCCGGGCGCCTTTTGCTGTGTACGATTGATCTGAAAGTAGAGATGGCGATCACCAAGAATCACCTCCCCGCTCAGAGATTCGTATGGAGTGACGATTTCGCAGGCCAAGACAGCCTGAACGCGCTCGTGGGGCTGCATGCTGCCCATGTTGTCCTCGGCGGCCTCTGGCACGTCCGTGCTCTCCGTAACAGTGCTGCGCGGGTCGATACTTGTACTGAGTCCGCCCTCGTTAACGTCAGTTCCAGGTGCAGCGGCATCATCGAGCGTGCCGGCGCCGCGGTGCTGATGATGCAGATAAGCCAGCGAATTTGCAGACACGGGGGCGAGGGCAGTGGGGCAGAGGAGCAGTGGTCGCAGTGTCAATGCCTCGGCACTGGATATTGCGCCAGCGTGGCCACGCTGCTCCACCAATGCGGCCAGCCCGCGCACATCCATCTGCCCTGCGCTGCAGGTCGGTAAATCTTCCATCGCTTCGACCAAATGCAGCAGCTTGGAGGCGGCTGCCAGCATAGGATCCTCTTGTGAAGCGTCAGTAGCCTCGTTGCCGAGCACTGACGCACTGCTGCCAACATGTGCGAAAGGCCTTTCGAGCTCTGCTGTCTCCTCGTCCACGGGAGCTAAGCACGCCGTGCCTCGACGCAGGGTGCCTGCTGTCAAGGTCAGGGGGGTGTCTGGCTGAGGAGTGATGAGACTCAAGCCACTTGCAAAGCGAGTCGGGGTCTGAGTCAAGCTAGCCTCAAGTGACCAATTGCTAGTCATGGACTCGTTGACGAGCCGAGTATGCTCAAGTGCGTCATCATCAGGCGATTTAGCACTAGACGCGTTTGCTGCGTGCGTGGCCAGGGCCTCATCCGCGGCAGGGTTTCCTGGGTTCTCTTCCCAATAGTCATGGGCCCGATTGGCCATGTCCACGGCCACACGCAGGGGTTGCAGCTTGCGGCGCATGCGCAAGAGGCCCTCACGCGGGTCCAGCATCCACTTGCGCCCTTGTTCGGGCCGATACCAGATGCTGCCCGGCTGCTGAGCACGTTCCTCGATGCGATGCCAGAGGGTCTGGCACAAGTTGAGCTCATGGCTGTGGTTCGTCACGTGTTCCAGGTATGCCTTGCGATGCAAATCGGCCAACTGGAGTGCACGCGTGACCATGGCTGTGAGATGGGTTGTGATACGACGCTGACCAAGCAACACCTGTTCCACGCGCTCTGCTTCGTCTGCCGCGCGTGCCTCAAGCCAGTTTTTGCGTGCCAGCTCGATTTCAGTCGAAAAGGTTTCGTTCTCCGTGAGACGGTAAAATTTGAGGTACCATCCACCCCGCGTGGCGCCTAGCCGCGAACCATCCAAATCCACGGCCCCCTGGAGGTTTGGCTTATGGTGGCGAATCACGTAGCGAAAGGCAAGCTCACACTTGTCAAGCATTACATCGATGCTATGAACTACGGCATCAGCATCAGGGCTTTTGTCAGGCAGATCAGGATCATCTCGTAGGCGGCGTAGACGATGATAGGCCGAGTGGAGCGATTTGAGCACGAGCACAAATGATGAGTCAAAGTGAACGAGGCGAGCCCACAAGCTGCCACTGGCTGTCAGTTGATCGATGCCGAGACCAAGCTGCTGCAAGCGCTGCGGAAGTTTTTGCCAGATGGGCTCCTGCAGAGTGGCGTCCAACTCGCGATTGGGAAGGAGGTCTAGATGCAGTAGCCACAACAGAAGGCGCAGCAGCTGTTCACTTAGCATGCGTTCCACCACGCGGGCATCAGCATACTGGGTTGAGTTTCGTGGCAGAGCGTGGCGTACGACACTGCTCGTCCCCAAACCAAGCAATGCGCGCACGTGATCAAGCATGTCCTGGAGCCAGCGGATCAGAAGCCAGACAAAGCCGTGATCCGAGAGGGTTGACCAGTTCTCGCGTAGCACATCGCTGACTACCATCCACGAGGCCTCATCACTATCAGGACCGGAGGTCATGGGGTCGGAGGAGTCTGAGGCAAATGTTGCCGCCGCGGCCACAGTAGCGCAGGCTGCGGCCACTTCGGCGCTGTTTACGAGGCTAGTATCAGGTAGCGTAGCTGCCACTCCCGAGTCGTAGAGGACAAGATCCACAGCCATACCACAGAGAGTCGCCACTGCTCCATGGAGTGGCACATGAGTAGCCTCCACTTTTGTCCCCCGCCCCGGCTGGCAGATGGCAGCTTGCATTTGATCCAACAAAGTCAGAAGCATTGAGCGCTGAAGGTGCTTGGCGTGCTCATGCGGCAGGCCCCACACAGTCAAACAGTTGATCATGCTCTCTAATCGAGCAAGACCCGTGGGTGCTGAGCGGGGTTGGAGCAACAGTGGGCCAACGTGAAGTGAGGAGAGCTCGGTTAAGAAGGTTTCGGCAACGATCAGCAGGGCTTTGCGGGCTGATAGAGAAAAGCAGCCCACGTGGCTAACTGCTGAGCTGGCCGGTGTCGAGGGCCGCGAACGCCACGAAGGCTGCTCGGCATGAGCTGCACTTGACGCAGCGGCGATTCTTGAATCGGGGTCCGGGTCGTTAGCCAGAAGGTCCGCGTCCAAACTAGCATTGGCAGTGGGCGATCCAGACTGCACATTCTCGCTGGGACTCGGGGGCTTGGAAGGAGCGCGCAAGGTTGCAATGGTCAAGATCTCGCACAGGACCGCGACAATATTTGCATTGAGCAGGGGCTCGCGTAGATCATCGCGCAGCCGCACGAGGTGAGTCAGTGTCCCTAAGGCTTCATGGCATAAGGTGGCATCCGAGACCAAGTGTGCAAATAGTGCTGCAATCAGATGCGCTGCAGAGCCGGCGTCAGTTGCGCTCAAGGGCTGTGTGCCCTGCAGAGCGTGCTCGACTGGTTGACCGGCACTAGAACTCGTCGCAAACGATTGCAGATCCTCACGAGAGCTGCGATGTGAAGAAAAGCTGGGTCGGGAGGGGCTGTTTGCGGTCGATGGGACGCGCGACGCTGATGTCTTGGTCGAGGCGCTGCGGCGCAGGTCGACGCGTCCGATAAAGACATTCAGGGCGGCCATGAAGATGGGACGCGTAACAACATGCTCTGTGAGCTGCTTTGCCAAAACATGAAACCCCTCTGCGCGTCGAAAGAGCTTGGTGAAATTGGGGAGTCCGCGCTGCAGGCAAAATATGATCAAGCGCAAAACCATCAAACGCGTTGTGGAATCTTCGTGATCAGCCATGGCAAGAAGAGTGTCGGGAACGAAGATAATGTCCAGGTTTTCGCGAGACAGGACGTTGTCATCATATCCCGTGCGGCACAAGCAGTCTAGCACGAGAGACAGAAGACCTACGCGCACATCCACTGCGTCAGTCGGCCCGGGCGAATCTGTATTTGAGGGCTCAGAGGCGTCCTCCGTATTCCCTGCAGGGTTGGAGTCTACATTTCTGTATGGCTGGTCATGCGCGTCGACATGACGATCCGTGCTGCTTGTTGATGATTGAGACAACAGAGGAAGTGGGGAGAGGCGGCGCCGCAAAAGAGTGGACTCGATGGGATCAACCATGGCTGCTTCGCCCGGCTGGCGGCTGGCAGGAGAATCGGGCTCAAAGTCGGAACCTTCCTCTGCGATGGCAGCAAAGGGCGAGTGCTGCGACCACCCCAAGTTTGAGCGTTTGATGCGACGTGGCGGGCTGCGTGCTTTGTCCGAAATAGCACCCAGACCAGCCATATCCGCATCAGGGGCAGTTCCTTTCTCAAAAGCCCCGGAAGGTGATGCCCACGAAGTGGTGCCTGACTGCGGGAATGTAGCCCATGCCGATTATCAAGATGGCACAAGCAAAGCGTGAGTATCTGACGTGCCAACAGAAAAGGCGAAGAAAAGGAGTGGCAGAAAACAGAGAAAAATGGTTGGATCCACAGTCAAGAACAGTAGCAAGGCATATCAGCTGCATGCCACATACCCTTTGGGCTCGTGGCGAGGGCGTTAAGAACGAGAGACGTCGCTGTGAATAGCCAGATGCAGGTTCATCTGCCTCGTCCTGATCCTTGTCATCCTTGGAAGATTTCTACAACACAAGCCACGTGCCCGGGCATGAGGCGCGAGGTGCATGAAGATGAGGTCAGCTGATGATGTGTCAAACAATACAGTCACTTGGGGCTCCTTCCCTTCTCACACCACCGCCACCACCGGGGAAAAGGGTGCCATGAAAGCGAGCTTCTACCCACCTTGGCCCGTTTCCAAAATGTGCCCTCTCGAATCTAAGGGATATGCATGCACATTTGGGCAATTTGGGCATGAGTGCATAAGAATTGAAAATTTTGTGTTGAGCGGTCCAAGTACAGCCAGGCAATCACCACGGAAGCCGATCACACCTTGAGTTTTTGTGCTGGGTGGGTGGCGGTAAGAAAGTTGACGAGAGCGCGGAGATCCTCCACCAGCTCAGCTGGAGACTCCAAGATGATACCGCGGACGAGTTGAACATAGGCATGGGCAAGCTCTTGACTTTGAACTTGCGCTTTTGATTGCCACTCAAGAAGCAGGGCGTTTAAAAGGCCGGCACTCCTACATGGGCCCCAACATGTGAGATATGTACGGCCAAGAAGCAAAATGTCGTAAGTCGTGTGAGCTCACCGATACTGCATTGAGTTGAGGTGAGCAAAGGAGCACAAATCGCCATTGACAAGCCGAGCCAGCGCATGAACACGGTACAAGCGAACAGTATGAGGCGCACGGCGCCAAATGCGTGGCTGCATCAAGGTAAACTCCAACAGCGGAACGTTGCATACAACGGCTTCGCGATTGATCCAAAGGTCTTGGCCTGGGATGGATGGGCCCCCAAAAAAGGCAATGGCGGGTTGTTTAGTGATAAGCGGCGAGCAGATGTGCAGGCATGCGATCTCAAGGCTTCATACCAATCGATTCCTTGTTTTGAGAGCCGCTGTAGTTGACGCAAAAGCGAAGTAGACAGCGCAAGAGGGCTTCTGTCAGTTCGCAGCGGGATGACGCCAAGAAGTGACCCAGAAGCCTGTAAACGTGCTCATTTTTGGACTGGTGCGCGAGGTGTGGATCCTGGCAGGCAATCAAAGGCAAGAGCAGTGTTGAACGTAAGCAAACAGGCCCATGACCAGCCAGCGTTGGCAGGTTGTGCAAACGTCCTATCAACGCACTTGTTCAACGACGGAGAGAATGGTTTCGATCAGCTCAAGCTGATGCTCGCCTGAGGGTGCTGCATCAGCAAGCAAAAGTAAAAGTGCTTGAACGCCACTGAACTCCCCCAAGGCACGTAGCACGTCACGGCGATCGCTGATAAGGGGCTGCAGACCAGCTGCCTGGTCCAGCAAAGTGCTCTTGGTGTCAGCTCCTTCATCGACTTCGACGGTTTCGCGCAGCGAATCGGTTTCCGAGAGCGTTTGTTCGCCTGCAGAAGCTTGGGTGCGAGCCCCTACACATTCGATTATTGAGTTAATGAAAAAGGAACGGCAAGGACGATGCAGTCGTTGAGCCTCGCAGCATGGGGTAAACAGAAAGGTACCCAAACCACTGACCAGTGTCACTCTGCGACCCGACGATCGAGGATGCGACAGATGTTGTGCGCGAAGCGAGCCTGTTGTCCTCTGAAATACCCACATTCATGATTTGATTTGAGGAGGCCTGGCGCTGAGAGTCCACGTGCAGAGCAGGACTAAACGGCAACAGCATTTTGTCTGTGTAAGACAACGCCCCCTCAAAACCTTCAGGTGCTCGTGTGAGTTGAAGGGCATTGCTTTGAAATGAAGCCCGTCGCGCCACAAGGGCTACATCCCGAGGCCAGTTGGTAGCTGATCGACTCCGACCCTGTCCATGCAAAGGAGAGGCCGAGGGTGTGGTCGAATCTTCATCTTGATTGGCGTGGCGC